TAGAAAGACAAAGATCTCTAGAATCAACAATCCCTCACACCCAAAAAAATCCAACAGGCATCAGCTACAACCCCAGGGAAGCAGGATATCACCTTTGGGACATAATAGGATTAACCCACCACCATCAGAATACCAGAAAGGCAGACTCAGACTCAGGTCAAAGTTCATGTCACAGGAACAACTCCAAACAAAAGCCCAAGAAGGTATAAAAACCCACCACTCCCTCTTACATGTGGTCAGTTTTTCCCAGAACCATCTTTCTGTCTGGCTCTCCTCTTCAATAAACTGCAACTTTTTGCAGTCTCCATTTTGTTTATTCCTGGCTTGGACTGGACTCTGATGAAGATTTTTCTTTTAACACAGTGGTTCTCAACCTTTTTAATGCTGCGACCCCCAACCGGTCGTAAGTCGAGGACTACTCAACCAGTCGTAATTTGAGGACTACTCCACTGGTGCAGCACCGTTTGCAGAATGGGACTTTTGGCGGGCTCAGCAGGGCAGAGACAGCCTGGACAATTCCTATTGGTTTTGGAAAGCCAATAGAATTCGACTCTATTCAAGAGAGTCTATTCTATTGGCTTTCAAAAGCCAATAGAATAAAAGGGAGTAGCACAGCTAAGGAAAAGGGGGAAAAAATGGCGGACTGCGTTGTTTGGCAACCCCCGTGAAATGATCATTCAACCCCAAATGGGGTCCTGACCCACAAGTTGAGAACCACTGTTTTAACAGTATATAGGATTGGTTGTTCAATGATTTATTTAAACAGTAATGATGTCCTACTTACTTAAAGGTCTTGAGGGAAAGGCAAGCCTAACTACACTTGTGAAGAAATCTGCAAAACACAACTGTATTCTTCACAAAGTATTTACTTGGAAGGGAGGACTGTTAAAACCAACAGGCCTTCATTCTAAGTAACCATACTTAAAACCAGATGGCAAAATACCTTTCCTTTTATGTTGAATGAATCCAGATGTCCTCTCCAGAACAAGAATGTGGGAGTCTTGTCAATGCTGAAATGAAAAAGGTTCAAAGACCTTGAAAAATGTAGCAGCCTTTTAGGGGCTACAAAGTATTTAATGGAATATATAAAATTATAGTCAAGAGTTGGAACTTCGCGATCATTTTGGCCCAGTGTTTAACAACTTCGGCCACTTTAAGAGGGGTGGACTTCAACTCCCAGAAATTCCCAGCCCCAACAAGCACTGTAGTTGGGGAATTGTGAGAGCTGAAGACCACAACTCGGGAATTCTGGGAACTGAAGTCCACCTATCTTAAAGCATGCTGGCTGGGAATAGTGTGGGAGTTAAAGTTAAAGCATGCTGGTTGGAGAATTCTGGGAGTTGAAGTCCACCCTTCTTAAAGCATGCTGGTTGGGGAATTCTGGGAGTGGAAGTCCACACCCCCTTAAAGTATGCACGCTGGGAAATTCTGGGAGTGGAATTCCACCCCTCTTAAAGCATGCTGGCTGGGGAATTCTGGGAGTGGAAATCCACCCCTCTTAAAGCATGCTGGCTGGGGAATTCTGGGAGTGGAAATCCACCCCTCTTAAAGCATGGCTGGCTGGGGAATTCTGGGGACTGAAGTACACTTATCTTAAACTTGAAATAAGTTAACATTAGAATAAATATGAGATTCATCCCTGTCAGAGATGGAAGATGCTACAAATGCTATTTCCTCATTCGCAGTTTGAATAAGCCCCGATTTACATAACACGTGGAGCCAAAGCGACAAAACCACACTTTGCCACAACACTGCGGCATAAACCTACATCGCCTTTAAGGAGGATTGTTAATCAGCAGATGCCTGATATTTTCCCCCTAAAAAGACTAATTTTGAGAGCATTTTCCGCTATAGAGTCCTCTGTATGAAACCACATTTCATCTGAGATTAACCGAGCTCCAACTGTGATGATTTTAACCTGGTTAAATAGCCTGGTTTTGTGACCAGTGCTGAAGGTATGAGCATTGGACAGGCTGTGTCCTGGATTTGTCAATGTTAATTTATGAAGCTCAGCTGCAATCAATCATTCCATCTATCAATCAATAGAGCTAAAGGGGACTTTAGAGTAGAAGGAGAGAGGAGGACTGTGGGGTCCTTGGTGGCCTCTGAGCTTGGTGGTTTTCTTGCAGACCTTTCATGACCCAACTAGGTAACATCATCAGTGCTAGAAGGGAGTGAGGGGAGGAGGAGGAGGAGGAGAGGACTATGGGGTTCTTGGTTGTCTCTGAGCTTGGTGGTTTTCTTGCAGAGCTTTCATTACCAAATTAGCTAACATCATCAGCACTAGATATAGATGTAGCTCTGATGATGTTACCTAGCTTGGTAGTGAAACGTCTGCATTAACACCACCAAGCTCAGAAATCTTGTGGAAAACGCAAGGACTCTTACGAATCCCAGAGGGTTTTAGCAGAGAGATTTATTGCGCAGGTTCAGAAGCAATAGCAACCAGCAATTCTGAACCCCGAGGGCGGGTTCAGACTTCAGTTTTATACTTTCCTTTTTTCCTCAGGAATAAAGGAATACACATTGAAATACACATTGTAATACATTAGGTTCGTTTCTCACGGGGATACAATGGAGTTTGCTACATACATTGTATCCAAGTGCAATGCGCATTAGGTTAGTCACCTACTACTAACACAGCATTATTCCAGTAATTATGCAGACACATCATTATTCTAGTGATTGTTCATTATTCCACATTACAGAGACCACCCAGCACTCCATAATTTAAATCTTTCCCCCTTCTAGCCAGTTCATCGAGGTCCTTGGTGCTCTCTGACGCTTGGTTGCTTTCTTGCAAACCTTTCGTGACCCAATTCAGTAACATCATCAGGGCTATAAGGGAGTAGGGTTTTTGGAGTGGAGGAAGAAGAGGAGAAAGAGAGAAGGACTGTGGGGTCCTCAATTCTCTCTGAGCTTGATTGTTTGCTTGCAGACATTTCATTATTCAACTAAATAACAGCATCGGCAAACAACCCATAATACTTCCACAGCTCTTATCTCCAGCAAATGCAATATTCCTGAATATGTTGCTATATGTCCGTTTTCGACTTAATCCTTTATCCCGTTTTTCTGGATTCAGCAACAACCTGAAATGAAGCAACACTTTGCAAAGGCAAAATTCACACTGTACAAGAGAGTCCAATGTACTTTAGTATCTCTGAGGAGTTTTGCCATTTATTTTTTTCTTCTGCACATGAATTGAAAGGGAGCAAAATTGAGATGGTTAAAGGATGCTGCACTTCGGCTGCTGGTCCAGGAATGAAACACAAGATTGGAAGGTGGAACCAACCCAAAGGTTGGTTAGATAAAAGATAGGCTATCTTTTGGGTCCTGCCATGGTTTTACAAGGCAGCTTGGAAATCCCCATTCTCTATCAAAGAATGTCTCTGGAGATTCTCAGTCATCCAGGTCATGGTTGTCCCAAAGGTGCTTTTTTCACGAGGCCACTGGATTTCCTTGTTTTTGCTTTGAAGACATTTCGCTTCCCATCCAAGAAGCTTCTTCAGCTCTGACTGGATGGTGGGGAATGGAAGGATTTATATTCTTTGTAGACAGCTGCTCATTTGCATTTGTGGGAAGACACCCCCCCCCCCCGAGAAATATTTTGGGGAATATTAAAAAGGCAGAATATTATATTTCTCCAAAGGAATAATGGAGAAGAACTTAGAAGGCAGAAACCTCTTTCTCTCCCCCAGTCAGAAACTCAGCAGGCCAGCTCTGTAGAAATGCAGATTTGATAATCCCATTCAGCCCCATTCATGAGGAAATAGTACCTGCAGAAACCCATTCAAGACAGGACTTTTTGAAATCCCTAGCAGCAAAACTGATAGCTAAAAATAACAGAGAGTTAGAACTCAAACCAGCAACCCCTCACTCAAAAAATCCAATACAGGACATAGCCATCACCGCAGCCCCAGAGAAGCAGGACATGACCTTTAGGACATTAATAAGATTAACCCAGGACCATCGGAATACCAAAAAGGACACGCTCCAAAGCTCAGGTCAAAGTTCATACCACAGGAACAACTCGAAACACAAAAGCCCAAGAAGGTATAAAACCCCACCACTCCGAGCTACATGTGGTCAGCTTTCCAAGAGCCACATGCTGTTTTGCTTCTGCTCTTCAATAAATAGAACTTTTTTCTAAAGCAGCCTCCATTTTGTTTATTCCCGGCTTGGACTGGACCCTGATGAAGATTTTTCTTTCAACACATTATTTTAAAAAGTCGTTAAGGCCACTTGGAGGTTCATCTGTGTCCTCTCTCTAAAACAGGGGTTCTCAACCTTGGCAACTTTAAGACTTATGGACTTCAACTCCCAGAGGAGTTGGCTGAGGAATTCTGGGAGTTCAAGTCCACAAGTCTTAAAGTTGCCAAGGTTGAGAACCCCTGCTCTAAAAGAAGGCAAATGACCAGCTGTCTGCAAGGAGTATAAATCCTTCCATTCCCCACCATCCAGTCAGAGCTGAAGAAGCTCAACATAGAATAGAGGAGAACCTATATCATTTCAGACAAGTGACTGTTCAGTCTTTTCTTTAAAATCTCCAGTGATGGAGTGCCCATGATTTCTGGAGGCAAGCTGTTCCACTGGTTGATTGTCCTCACTGTCAGGAAGTTTTTCCTTAATTCCAGGTTGCTTCTCTCTTTGGTCAGTTTCCAACCATCGTTTCTCATCCTGCCCTCTGGTGCTTTGGAGAATAATATGACTCCCTCTTCTTTGTGGCAGCCCTTCAGATACTGGAATATAGCTATCCTGTCTCCCCTATTTCTTCTTTTCTTTAGACTAGCCAAACCCAAGTCCTGCAGCCGTTCTTTGTATGTTTTAGTCTCCAGGCCTTGGATCATTTTAGTTGCTCTTCTCTGAATTTTTTCCAAACTCTCAACATCTTTTTTGTGATATGGTGACCAAAACTGGCTGCATTGTTCCAGGTGTGGCCTCACTAGGGTTTTCTAAAGCAGTACTAATACTTCACATGATCTTGATTCTATGCCTTTGTTTACACAGCCCAGGACTGTATTAGCTTTTTTGGCTGCTGCTGCACATTGATGGCTCCTTGGATGAGAAGTGAAACGTCTCCAAAGCAAAAACAGGAAAGTCCAGTTGCCTTTGGGACTCTATAAAAGTATATGAGGCGGAACCATTCTTTGCGGTTCAGGTTTCCATCCGGACTTTTTGTCCCTTCCTTTTTTTTAATTCTCTCCTGCCTTACAATGGCGACGACCGCCCTGCTTCTTTTTCCTCTTGCACTTCTTTTGCTGTGGCTGCTTCCTCGCTTGTGGCTGCAGCGCTACCGCGGCCTGAGGAAGTGGAGGCGGCGGCCAGACCACCGGACGCTTTTCTCAGACGGACCGGAATCGCTAGCGGCAGTGCGACGCGACGTCCCGACCACCCGCGTCCTCTTCGTGACGGCGCACCCTGATGACGAAGCGATGTTCTTCGCCCCCACCATCCTCGCCTTCAAGTCGGCCAGCCTGTGGCTGCTCTGCGGCTCCACAGGTGAGGGAGGGGGGGAGGGAAAAGGGAGAGATGCGGAGTTGCCTAGCAACCGCGGCCTCGGCACGCCCACCTTTCGCGCGGGCTGCAGGAACTCATGCCGTTGCCCTACGCTATCGGCGTCGCTCTGTGACGTCATCTGGATCCGACCTGAGGGCTTTCCAAAGAGCCCCGCCCATCTCTAGCCTGTATGGCCTGAGCTAATAAAGGCCCGCCATTTGAGTGTGACGTCACTGAGCCTCAGTTTGCCCTGTCTGCAAAATGGGCATAAGAGCCAAGCAGAAGTTGGTGAATTGAGAGGCTTATCGCCTAAAAAGACAGGATGGGAAAAAGGAGAGAGAGAGAAAAAGAAAAGCCTGCAATAATCACCTCATCAATTTTTCCCAACACACTTGTTAAATGAGCAAAAGTCAGTGTGATACAATAATGCTAGAGTAGGACTGGGGAGACCCGCTTTATGACCATCACAACATATGACTGTAATTGCTGGCTCAGTTATGGTCGTATCTTGAGGACTACCTGCAATGGCAGAATTTATTCTACCTCTTTTCATCTACCAGGGTTTTGTTCCCAGTGTCTCATTCCATTCTGTTATTTCAATTGATTGGTTGATTGATTTGACTAGGTACGAACATAGCTAGCCTTTTGAAATCTATTCAGCCCTTTATTGAGCGTAATTCTCTGCTACTGCTCTAAAAACAACTCTTGGCAGGTTGCATGGGGGGGGAAATCATTATAAAACTTAGCCAGTAAATAAAAATTCATCTGCTTTTATCCTTTTCCAGCTCAGATTCCTTTACATGGACTGTTATTTTGTTATTCGTTAACTCTTCTGTCTTTGAGTTCCTCAGAATAATAGAATAGAATAGAATAGAACAGAATGGAAAATATGAAATAAAATAGAATTTGAAATAGACTAGAATAGAATACAGAAAATAGAATAGAAACGATATTGCTGCTTTAAATGTACACTACTCAGCATACATTAAAATGAAATTGCATTGCATTCAGCTCTCAAAAAATGCTTTTTTAGCATAGACACACATATACATACATATATATCACACAGAGAAATATCAGTGTAAACATATACATGGAAAAAAAAAAAAGAATCCTGTGAGTTTACTAGATGGCATAAGGAACAAAGTTGTGACAGAATCCAGTAGTTGTGTTAGAAATATTTCAAAATATCATCCCAGAGGGGAGCAACAGAAACAGACCGTGAAGTGGGCATGTGGGGTCTCTAAAAATGCTTTGAGCTTTAGGCACATGATGCTTATATCCTGCTGGAGCAGGAGACCCTGTACCATTTCGGACAAATGACTGTCCAGTCTCTTCTTAAAAACTTCCAGTGTGGGAGCACTCACTGCTTCTGGAGCAGTGGTTCTCAACCTTTTTAATGCCGCGACCCCCAACCGGTCGTAAGTCGAGGACTACTCAACCGGTCGTAAGTCGAGGACTACTCAACCGATGCAGCACCGTTTGCAGAATGGGACTTTTGGCGGGCTCAGCAAGGCAGAGACAGCCTGGACAATTCCTATTGGCTTTGGAAAGCCAATAGAATTAAACTCTATTCAAGAGAGTCTATTCTATCGGCTTTCAAAAGCCAATAGAATAAAAGGGAGTAGCACAGCTAAGGAAAGGGGAAAAAAATGGCGTTGTTTGGCGACTTCCGTGAAATGGTCGTTTGACCCCAAATGGGGTCCCGACCCACAGGTTGAGAACCACTGTTCTGAAGGCAAGGAGTTCCACTGGTTAATTGTTTAATAGTCAGAAAGTTTCTCCTTAGTTCCAGGTTGCTTCTCTCTCTGGTTAGTTTCCATTCATTGCTTCTTGTCCTGCCTTCAGGTGCTTTGGAGAATATGTTAACCCCCACTCTTCTTTGGGGCAACCCCTCCTCAGTGGCTTTAATTTTTCTTGTGTGTGTGGGGGGAAATGTTTGTGTCAAAAAATTGGTAAGTAAATAGATTCCAAAGAGAGGCCAAAGAGATGACCGTTATCTCTTTCATCATTCACAGGGAATTATTATCAGCAGGGAGAGATTCGTAAAGGAGAATTGATAGAAAGCTGCACAGTTCTTGGGATTCCTTCTTCCAATGTGACCGTCCTGGACCACAGGTAATTTGCTAAAAAAAAAAAAAAAAAAGTAGCATTGTTGGGTTGTGCAAGAAGTCATAGAATCATAGAGTTGAAAGGGAACTTCGAGATCATCAAGTCCAACCCAGGATTCACTACACCAGGGGTAGGCAACCTTGGCTCTTTTATGACGCGTGGACTTCAACTCCCAGAATTCCTGAGCCAGCATGGGGGAACTATGGCTCCCTTTGTGACTCGTGGACTTCAACTCCCAGAATTCCTCAGCCAGCATGGGGAATTATGGCCCCCTTCATGACTCGTGGACTTCAACTCCCAGAATTCCTGAGCCAGCATGAGGGAACTATGGCCCCCTCATGACTGGTGGACTTCAACTCCCAGAATTCCTCAGCCAGCATGGGGGAACTATGGCCCCCTTCATCACTTGTGGACTTCAACTCCCAGAATTCCTGAGCCAGCATGGGGGAACTATGGCTCCCTTCGTGACTCGTGGACTTCAACTCCCAAAATTCCTGAGCCAGCATGGGGAACTATGGCCCCCTTTATGACTTGTGGACTTCAACTCCCAGAATTCCTGAGCCAGCATGGGGGAAACTATGGCCCCTTCCTGACTCGTGGACTTCAACTCCCAGAATTCCTGAGCCAGCATGGCTCAATTTGGAAACCTCTCCCTTTCCCCTCAGCGTGGCTGGCTCAGGAATTCTGGGAGTTGAAGTCCACCAGTCATAAAAGAGCAACGTTGCCTACCCCTGCACTACACCATCCCCCAAAGGTGGCTACACATAATCCTAGACTTACAACTTCAATTGAGCCCAGGGCTTTTCAACCTTTTCACCGACTGTACCACTTTTAGGATATGGCAATATTCGAGTACCACCTAGCAAGGTGTCAAAAACTTGATGAGCAAAAAAAAAACAAAAAAAACAAACCCAACTAAAAACCCTGTTCAAAGTTGCGATTGCACTGAAATGACATATGACCATTTTTCACACTTATGACCATTGCAGCATGCCCAGGGTCATGTGATTTATATTTGGATGCTTGGCAACTGATTCATATTTACAATGGTCACAGTGTTCCATCTGCAACCTTTTGACAAGCAAAAACTTGATGACCCCTGTCAAAAACGTGACAAAAAAAGGAAAAAAGCGATAAAGTACAGGTAGTCCTCAACTTAACCTCTGCAGCTCCTGAGGACTCTTTCACGGCAAATCCTGCGCTGCGCTTTGGCTCGTTCCCTCCCCCGCTACACTTGGCTAGGCTGGGCAGGGCCGCGTACCACCTGCCAGGTGCCAATATACCATTGGTGGTACCTGTACCACTAGTTGAAAAGCCCTGGACTAGATGACCTCCAAGGTCCCTTCCAACTTTATTTATTATTATTATAATCAAGGAGAGAAGCAACCTAGAACTAAGGAGAAACTTCCTGACAGTGAGAACAATTAATCAGTGGAACAAACTGCCTCCAGAAGCTGTGAATGCTCCAACACTGGAAGTTTTTAAAAAGATACTGGACAGCCATTTGTCTGAAATGGTATAGGCTTTCCTGCCTGAGCAGGGGGTTGGACTAGATGACCTCCAAGGTCCCTTCCAACTTTTTGATGATAATGATGATGATGAACACATTGGAGTCCCAAATTTCCTTTGCTAAGCAAAACAGTTGTTAAGTGAATTTTGCCCATTTTACGACCTTTCTTGCAGGAATTGTTAAATGAATCACGGCAATTATTCACTTAGTAACACGTTGTTAAGTGAATCTGCCTTCCCCATTGTCAGAAGATCGCATAGGTGATCACATGACCCCAGGACACTGCAAGGATCCTAAAGATGAGCCAAATGTCCATATTTTGATCATGGGGAAACTGCAACGGTCGTAAGTGTGAAAGATGGCCATAGGTCATTTTTTTCAAGGTCATAACTTTGAATGGTCACTAAACGAGTAAAGGACAAGAAGCAACGGATGGAAAGTAACCAAGGAGAGAAGCAACCTAGAACTAAGGAGAAACTTCCTGATAGTTAAAACAATTAACCAGTGGAACAACCTGTCTCCAGAAGCGGTGAATGCTCCAACACTGGAAGTTTTTAAAAAGAGACTGGACAGCCATTTGTCTGAAATGGGATACACCATGGCTTCCTACCTGAGCATGGGGTTGGACTAGATGACCTCCAAGGTCCCTTCCAACATTATTATTATTAACAACCTGCCTCCAGAAGCGGTGAATGCTCCAACACTGGAAGTTTTTAAGAAGAGACTGGACAGCCATTTGTCTGGAATGGTGTAGGGTTTCCTGCTTGAGCAGGGGGTTGGACTAGATGACCTCCAAGGTCCCTTCCGATGATGATTATTATTATTATTATTATTATTATTATTATTATTATTATTATTTTGGATCATTGCACAGTCAGCCAGATCTTCAGACTGGATTTGGCATTTTGTCTACCTATCGAGTCCTTACCCAGGACCTGGGATAGGCAGATGTGGATGTTTGATGGTATTACAGGTATCGTCGCAGGATGGAAGCAGTTCCTAATAAGGCCGCCTTTTGCAATTGACTAATAGCAAATTTGTCAATGCCAATGGTGTTCAAGTGGTGCTCCAGTTGTTTTGGGATTGCACCCAAGGCGCCTATGACTAATAATAATAATAATAATAATAATAATAATAATAATAATAATAATAATTATTATTATTATTAGCCGAACATGCTTTTTGAGAACCAGGGTAGTTCTAATAACCTCCTCGTTTTTCATCTAGGATTTATTATAAATTCCAGGACACTCCTTGTTGAGAAGCATTCTTTTCCCAAGGTCAAACGTCCTTTTTTTTCTGCAGCTCTGTTTATTTTTTCAGAGCGGGATCTGATTGAACAGCTTTTTCACCCCATGGGAAACATCAGACCGGCATGTAAGCCAGTTCCTCTCTCTCCTTTCCATTCTGGCCCCGGCGAAGCATATCCCAAAATGTCCTTATTTACGGAATTCCCCTCCCCCCCAGGAATTACAAACCATCTTGGCCACTTTCCTTGCTAGCTATTCCTGGAAGATTGGAGGTTTCGCAACCCGCTCTCCTTCCAGACGGGCTGTTTTAGAGGAGGGGAATTAAAAAAAAAAAAAAACACCCTGTGGTGTGTGGTTTTTTTTAGCTCAGTTCCCACAGAGACAGCCCTGTGAAGGAATCCCTTTGCTCGTGTTTCTACGCCGGACGCTTGCCAAGCTTGGCGGAAGTCCCAAAGGTGCTTCCCCCTCCCCAAAAGGCAATTGAAGTTCCTTGGTTTTTTTTTTTCCTTTCCTTTCAAAATGTTTCACTTCTCAGGGTTGGACTCGATGACCTCCAAGGTCCCTTCCAACATTATTATTATTATCGATCATCGCACAGTCAGCCAGATGTTCAGACTGGATTTGGCATTTTGTCTACCTATCGAGTCCTTACCCAGGACCTGGGATAGGCAGATGTGGATGTTTGATGGTATTACAGATATCGTCGCAGGATGGAAGCAGTTCCTAGTAAGGCCACCTTTTCCAATTGACTAATAGCGAATTTGTCAATGCCAATGATGGTGTTCAAGTGGTGCTCCAGTTATTTTGGGATTGCACCCAAGGAGCCTATTACTATTGGTACTACCCTTGCTTGCTTTTGCCACAGTTTTTCTATTTTTATTTGTAGGTCTTTGTATTTTGTTATCTTCTCCAGTTCTTTCTCTTCTATTCTGCTATCTCCAGGCACTGTCACGTCCACTATCCAGACTTTTTTGTCTTTCTTATCGACAATTGTTAAATCTGGGGTGTTATGTTGCAGGTGTTGTTATTATTATTATTATTATTATTATTATCACGCAGAAAATTCTTCAGCCTCTTGGATGAGAAGCAAAATATTTTCAAAGGAAAATGTTTGAAAACTTTGCAAAACATATCAAGAAACTGCAGCTTCCTGCAATAACTCCAGCAACGTTACAAAAAACTGCGCTACTCGGAACATCTTATATTTTAAGAAGGTGCCTGGTTGATACCTAGGATGCTGGCAGCAACCCGTGTCAGCTGTCAGCGCCAGTTAATTTGAATGTTCAGTTGACTGAGGTTCATGTTTAATGAATAAAAATAATAATAATAATAATAATAAAGTTGGAAGGGACCTTGGAGGTCATCTAGTCCAACCCCCTGCTCAGGCAGGAAACCCTACACCATTTCAGACAAATGGCTGTCCAGTCTCTTCTTAGAAACTTCCAGTGTTGGAGCATTCACCGCTTCTAGAGGCAGGTTGTTCCACTGGTTAATTGTTCTCCCTGTCAGGAAGTTTCTCCTTAGTTCTAGGTTGCTTCTCTCTTTGGTTAGTTTCCATCCATTGCTTCTTGTCCTGCCTTCAGGCGCTTTGGAGAACAGCTTGACTCCCTCTTCTTTGGGGCAGCCCCTGAGATACTTGAACGCTGCTATCCTGTCCCCCCTCATCCTTCTGTTCATTAGACTAGACATACTCAATTCCAGCAGCCATTCCTTGTAAATTTTAGCCTCCAGTCCCCTGATCATCTTTGTTGCTCTTCTCTGCACTCTTTCTAGAGCAGTGGTTCTCAACCTTTTTAATGCCGCGACCCCCAACCGTTCGTAAGTTGAGGACTACTCAACCGGTCGTAAGTCGAGGACTACTCAACGGGTGCAGCACCGTTTGCAGAATGGGACTTTGGGCGGGCTCAGCAGGGCAGAGACAGCCTGGACAATTCCTATGGGCTTTGGAAAGCCAATAGAATTAGACTCTATTCAAGAGAGTCTATTCTATGGGCTTTCAAAAGCCAATAGAATAAAAGGGAGGAGCACAGCTAAGGAAAAGGGGGAAAAAAATGGCGGACTGCGTTGTTTGGCGACCCCCGTGAAATGGTCGTTCGACCCCAAATGGGGTCCCAACCCACAGGTTGAGAACCACTGTTCTAGAGCCTCAGCATCTTTTTGACATCTTGGTGACCAAAACTGGATGCCGTATTCCAAGTGTGGCCTTTCCAAGGCCTTGTAAAGTGGTATTAACCCTTCACCTGATCTTGATTCTCTCCCTCTGTTAATGCAGCCCAGCACACGCACGGCTGGTTCCTGTTTAAGGGATGGTCCACTTTTTTTCAGCACCTTGGTGAACTTGGAAAAAGACCAGGCTGAAAGTCAGACTTCCTGTTCTGGAATCTCTCTGCATGGGGAGAAGAAGGGCGTCGCTCCCCCTTTCTGGTGACTCATGTAAACAACTGCAGGAGAAAGGCAGCTTTGTTTGATTTGGGCCAGAGGGCAGATGCTGTGGCGTGCCAGGGCTTGCTGCGCTGCGCTGCGTTCCAGAGCTGCACACAAGGGGTTATTCCGGAGCATTGGAGGGGAGGGAGTTGCCAAAGGTTTGCGTTGCGGCAAGCTGGAAAGTGCGCCCGTATTGAGAGGCAGCCAGAGAGGGAAGGTGGAAGCTGTGCATGGGGATGAAAGCAGCCCTTTTTCAGCCTGGCCCGCTTTAAGAGGGGTGGGCTTCCGCTCCCAGAATCCCCCAGCCAGCATGCTTTAAGCAGGGTGGAATTTCACTCCCAGAATTCCCCAGCCAGCATGCTTTAAGAGGGGTGGACTTCATCTCCCAGAATTCCCCAGCCAGCGTGCTTTAAGAAGGGTGGACTTCAACTCCCAGAATTCCCCAGCGTGCATACTTTAAGGGGGTGTGGGCTTCCACTCCCGGAATCCCCCAGCCAGCATGCTTTAAGAGGGGTGGACTTCCACTCCCAGAATCCCCCAGCCAACCTGCTTCAAGAGGGGTGGACTTCCACTCCCAGAATCCCACCCCAACTCTTACAGGGCAAGCTATTTGTACATAAATACAGAGCAAGCCCTACTCCAGTGGTGGCGAACCTATGGCACAGGTGCCAGAGGTGGCACTTGGAGCCCTCTCTGTGGGTACACGTGCCGTTGCCCCAGCCTCGCCTCCCCCCACAGCCCCCTCCTCACCAGCAGCCCCCCTGGAGGAGAGTCGCCCCCGAGCGTGGCCCATGTGGAGCAGCGCAGCCAGAGACATGGCAGCCAGGCAGTGTAGACAAAACTCTGCCCTCACGCTCCATCACACACAGTTGATGCTGCGGGGCGCGGGCAGAGGGCATGGCCACCATGGCGCTGCTGGGCTGCCTGGGTGATCTGCAGTGGGCCCTGGAGGCAGTGAGTAGCCCTGTGGGCAGGCGGGGTGGAGGCGGGGCAGGGATGGAGCAGGGGCGGGGCTAGTTTTTGGGCACTCGGGTCTCTAAATGTTTGCCATCACTGCCCTACTGCCTTCCAGTACTGATGATGTTACCTAGTTGGGTCATGAAACATCTGCAAGGAAATGTCTGAGACAGCAACAGAGACCTCCTCCTTCTCTTCCTCTTCCTCCTCCTCTTCTTCTTCCTCCTCCTCCTCCTCCTCCTCCTCCTCCTCCTCCTCCTCCTCGCAAACCGTTCTGTCTTCTAACATTGAAGATATTAAGTAGTTGGGTCATGAAACATCTGCAAGAAAACCAACCAAGCTTAGAGAGGACCAGGGACCCCACAGTTCTCCTCCTCCTCCTCCTCCTCCTCCTCCTCCTCCTCCTCCTCCTCCTCCTCCTCCTCCTCCTCCTCCTCCTCCTTCCTTCTAGCCCTGATGATATTACCTAGTTGGGTCATGAAGCGTCTGCAAAGAAACATCCCAGCTCAGAGAGCACCAAGGATCCCACAATCCTCCTCCTCCTCCTCCCTTCTAGCACTGATGATGTTGCCCAGATGGGTCATGAAACATCCGTAAGAAAACCACCAAGCTCAGAGAGGACCAGGGACCCCACAGTTCTCCTCCTCCTCCTCCTCCTCCTCCTCCTCCTCCTCCTCCTCCTCCTCCTCCTCCCTTCTAGCAGTAATGATGTTGCCCAGATGGGTGATGAAACGTCCTTGTTTTTCTTTGAAGATGTTTTGCTTCTCTGAAAAGGCTTCTTCGGAGCTGATGAAGCTTCTGGGAGGAGGAGCGAAACGTCTTCAAAGAAAAACAAGGAAATCCAGCGGCCTTGTGAAAAAGCATCTTTGGGATAAACTAGGACCTGGACGACGGAGGCTCTCCGTAGACCAGTGGTTCTCAACCTTTTTAATGCCGCGGCCCCCAACCGGTTGTAAGTCGAGGACTACTCAATCGGTCGTAAGTCGAGGACTACTCCACTGGTGCAGCACCGTTTGCAGACTGGGACTTTGGGCGGGCTCAGCAGGGCAGAGACAGCCTGGACCATTCCTATTGGCTTTGGAAAGCCAATAGAATTAGACTCTATTCAAGAGAGTCTATTCTATTGGCTTTCAAAAGCCAATAGAATAAAAGGGAGTAGCACAGCCAAGGAAAAGGGGGGGAGAAAATGGCGGACTGCGTTGTTTGGTGACCCCCGTGAAATGGTCGTTCGACCCCAAATGGGGTCCCGACCCACAGGTGGAGAACCGTTGACGTAGACGTTGTCTCCTATTGAAGTTCTTCTCGCCTAGAGTTTGAATCCATCGGTTCTGCTCCTTCTCTTTGGAGACAGAGAATAACGTTACTCTCTTTTCTAGGGGGCGACCCTCCAGATCCTTGAAAGCCGTGTGATTGTTGATTGTGTGGTTTGCGTTAAGAGTTTCTTCCTGGCTTGCAAGTTATTTGAATCATTCATTTTTTTTCTAGGAAACTTCCAGACCATCCATCCACCGAGTGGGATGTAGCTCTCCTTGGGGAGCTGATCCTCTCACACATCAAAACCTACCAGATCGACCTGGTAATTTAAGCAATTTAAGTATTTCTTATTGACTTCAACTCCTTCTCTTTCTTCCCTCCCCTCCTCTCCTCCCTCCCCTCCCTCCTTCCCTTCCCCTCTTCTCCCTCCCTCCCTCCCTCCCTTCCTTTCCTTCTTTCTCTCTCTCCCTCCTTTCCTCCCTCCTTCCTTCCTGTTTCCTCCCTCATTCCCTTCCTTCCCCTCTTCTTCCGTCCCTCCTTCCTTCCCTCCCTCCTTCCTTCCTTTCCTTTCTCTCTCTCCCCTCCCTCATTCCCTCCTTCCTTTCTTCCTTTCCTTCTTTCTTTCTCCCTCCTTCCTTCCTGTTTCCACCCTCATTCCCTTTCTTCCCCTCTTCTCCCTCCTTCCTTCCCTCCCTCCTTCCTTCCTTCCTTCCTCCCTCCCTCCTTCCTTTCTTCCTTCCTTCCTTTCCTTCTTTCTCTCTCTCCCTCCTTCTCTCCTTCCTTCCTTCCCTGCCTCCCGCCTTCCTTTCTTCCTTTCCTTCTTTCTCTCTCCCTCCTTCCTCCCTCCTTCCTTCTTTCCTGTTCTCTCCCTCAGTCCCTTACTTCCCCTCTTCTTCCCTCCTTCCTTCCCTCCCTCCCTCCTTCCTTCCTCCCTCCCTCCTTTCTTCCTTCTTCCTTTTCTTTCTCTTTCTCTCTCCCTCCTTCCTTCCTTCCTTCCTTCCTTTTCCCTCCCTCCCTCTCCCTCCCTCTTTCTCTGACCGGTGGAAGACTGCTTCCCCTTGCGTCAAAACAACAACAACAACAACAAACCACACAATCGCTTTTTGTGATCCTTTTCATCCAGGTCATAACCTTTGACGCCGGAGGAGTGAGTGGGCATCCGAATCACCGGTCCGTTTATGCCGCCGTCAGGTAAATGAAGGTTGCACTGGGGAATTCTGGGAGTTGAAGTCCACCTGACTTAAAACGCCCGAGGTCGCTGCTTCGAAAGATGCGGACGTGCAGTTCCCAGAGTTCCCCAGCTGACCCACGCAAGGAATTCTGGGAGCTGCAGTCCTCAAAGCGGCCTTTGAAGACAGGCGGTTGTGCAAATCTTTTTTAAATAAATAATACAAACCCATCTTGTTGAAGCCGAAGGGGCTCTGCTCTGCTCCGAGGACTACGCCAGATCTTCATAATTGAATACAGTGAGTCCTCGGCTTACGACGATTTGTTTAGTGGCCGTTCGAAGTTACAACCGCCCTGAAAAAAAGAGACTTTTTCACCCTTACAACCGTCACAGCCTCTCTGTGGTCACGTGATCAAAATCCAGGCACTCGGCAACTTATATTTATGACAGTCGCAGCGTCCCGGGGGGGGTCATGTGATCCCCTTTTGCGACCTTCCGACAAGCAAAGTCAATGGGGGGGAGCCAGATTCACTTAACGACCGAGTGACTCACTTAACAACCGCCGTGATTTGCTTGACGATCATGGTAAAACGGCTGCAAAATTGAGCTTGGCTCCCTTCATAGCCAGCAGCAACAGAAATTGTGGTCTCCATTTTGGTCGTTAAGTTGAGGACCACTGCAGCGATCCACTTAACGACCGCGGCAAGAACGGGGGGAAACTCTCTTCATAAAGGCCTCTCTTAGCAAGAGAGATATGGGGTCGTAAGTCGGGGACCCCCGTCGTTCTTTCTCAAAATCCATCTTTGTACTGCAAAGCCATCTCGCCCATCCCTACATGGTGGGACTTCCAGCGCTCAGAATTCGCACCCGGCACTGTTTCAAGTTCCGTGTTTACTGCCTAGAATGGCTAGATTGCTTTTTTTTTTCCCTCTGGAAAAAGCTTGGGAGACCTCGGTAGTTCTCAACTTACAACCACCACTGAGCTTAAAATTCCTGTTGCTAAGCAAGGCAGTGTGCTGCAGGTGCCAAAAAGGCCAACACAGTGCTGGGCTGCATTAACAGAGGGAGAGAATCAAGATCACGTGAAGTGTTAATACCACTTTACAAGGCCTTGGTAAGGCCACACTTGGAATACGGCATCCAGTTTTGGTCCCCGCGATGTAAAAAAGATGTTGAGACTCTAGAAAGAGTGCAGAGAAGAGCAACAAAGATGATCAGGGGACTGGAGGCTAAAACATATAAGGAACGGCTGCTGGAATTGGGTATGTCTAGTTTAAGGAAGAGAAGGACCAGGGGGAACATAGTAGCAGTCTTCCAATATCTCAGGGGCTGCCCCAAAGAAGAGGGAGTCAAGCTATTCTCCAAAGCGCCTGAAGGCAGGACAAGAAGCAATGGATGGAAACTAATCAAGGAGAGAAGCAACCGAGAACTAAGGAGAAACTTCCTGACAGTCAGAACAATTAACCAGTGGAACAGCCTGCCTCCAGAAGCTGTGAATGCTCCAACACTGGAAGTTTTTAAGAAGAGACTGGACAGCCATTTGTCCGAAATTTTATAGGGCTTCCTGCCTGAACAGGGGGTTGAACTAGATGACCTCCAAGGTCCCTTCCAACATCATCATCATCATTATTATTATTATTATTATTATGGCAAGGTTATTAAGTGAGCTGAAACTTCACTTTATGAACTTTTTTTTACCAGTCTTTAAGTGGATCACTGCCATGGTTCGATGGGTCAGGCAGTCGTTAAGTGAATCCAGCTTCTCCCCATTGACTCTGGACAAATTTTGTACTTTTCTCGCCGCCATTATGAAGCGAATCGCTGTAGTTTGTTAAGTGGATCATGGGGTCATTAAGTGGATCACAAAAGGTCACAAAAGGGGATCGCGTGACCCTGGGAAACGGTAACCGTCATAAATACAGGCTGGTTCCCAAGTGGCCGAATTTTGACCCCATGACCAGGGGGATGCTGCGATGGTCATAAGTGTGAGGACCGGTCGTAAGTCACTTCTTTCAATGTCGTTTGAACGGTGGCATAACCGATCGTAAGTCACTTTTTTCAATGCTTCCAAACTTTGAACTAAATGGTTGTAAGTCAAGGACTTCGTCAGCCTTCATGGAGCCTGAATTTGAATTCAAGTCTTCCCAATCCTGATCCAGTACCTTAAGATGTCCCCTTTTTTTAGGAAAAATTTATTGATTTTCTAGTTTTACATTTAAATATTGGAAAAGCAACGTGGCAGCTGAGTTGGTCAATAATTCAATAACCTACAAATCTCTTTAGTACAGATCTCAAACTATTACATTAAATATTTCCTTTCTTTTCTCCTTGGTATTTACTGTCTCATCTTTAAATTAATCCAATTCTTATTATATCCATTAAATAAAAAAATGCCTTTCTTACGTTGATCAATAATTTTTAGCTTATACCTATCCTAGTTGTTTTAACATTCCATCTTTTTAGACAATCAATGTCCTGGTTAGTTTTCCCCAATGTTTAGTTTCCCATTAATATTTAAATTTAATGTTTAATAATTTCCAAGTTTTAAATAACCCCAATTCCCTTTATCACAATTCATCACAAGACCTAATGTTCAGGATTCATGTCTTATCTATTTGAATTCTCACCATCTTACATCAACTCATTAATAGTACAACATAATATTCTTATTTTCTGGTAATTTCCAAATATCTTAAATTTAGTAACCAACATTTCTCTTATTTCAACATTTAATACTTCCTTGCTTTTTCTCTTAATATCTACTATCTCAACCTTCTTTTTTTTAATGTTGAATCCTTGGCATAATGTACAAAAGCCCCTTTTTTCCCACCTACACAGACCTCTACCATTTTAGATTTTTAAAAAAGTGAATTATAATTTTATTTCCATGGGGAAAGCCACACCAACTTGCTCTTTTAATAATAATAATAATAATAATAATAATAATAATAATAATAATAATAATAAACCCCCTTTTTCTCTTATCCCCCAACTTCAGCTGGCCATGAGCAGGAGAGGAAAGCAGCTGTTGCAGCCCCAGACTTCCTAGCTAATCACAAACACACACAATACACACACACAAACACACACCCTTGAGTTTCAGGGACACACCACTCCCCACGTGACCTTGCTGACTAATAATGCAATATTTTTTATTTTTTTTTTCTATATTGTGTTTTTATGGCTTGTAAGCTGCCTAGAATCTCCATGAGCGAGTAGGTGCCTATGTAAATGTTTTATCTATCTATCTATCTATCTATCTATCTATCTATCTATCTATCTATCTATCTATCTATCTATCTATCTTATCTATATGTATCTATCTATTTATATATTATCTGTCTGTCTATCATCTATCTGTCATCTGTCATCTATTTATCTATCTATCTATCATCTATCTATCTATATCATCTGTATCTATTTATCTATCATCTGTCTATCATCTATACCTATCTAATCTATGTTGTCTATCTATATGTATCTATTTATGATCTGTCTGTCTATCCTATCTATCAATCATCTATCTATCTATCTATCTATCTATCTATCTATCTATCTATCTATCTATCTATCTATCTATCTATACAAACAAACAAACAAACAAACAAACATCACAAATCTGTTTGCCGAAAGGAAGGGGTGGGTAACTTTTGGGATTTCCCTATTGGCACCTCATCCATGCAGCACGCGGGTGTTGTGTAACACAACACTTGGCAAAAGAAAAGAAAAAATGTTTTGAATAGGAGGCTGCCCCCTAGAGGTCTTCCAGAGCAGCAAGAGCATTTGGAGCAGCTTGCAATGTACACTTTGTCCTTTTTGGAGGACGGTTTGGCTGTGCCCTACACGCACACGCACACAAACACGTACCCACACTAACACATACAGACAAACACCTGCCTCCAGAAGTTGAAGATGTTAGCTAGCCGGGTAAGAAAACATTCGGAAACCAACCTACCAGCTCAGAGAGCGAACCTTCATTCCCATGGCATGGGATCTCCTGCCTGAGCAGGGGTTGGACTAGATCACTGGTTCTCAACCTGTGGGTCGGGACCCCATTTGGGGTCGAACGACCATTTCACGGGGGTCGCCAAACAATGCAGTCCGCCATTTTTTCCCCCTTTTCCTTAGCTGTGCTACTCCCTTTTATTCTATTGGATTTTGAAAGCCAATAGAATAGACTCTCTTGAATAGAGTCTAATTCTATTGGCTTTCAAAAGCCAATAGGAATTGTCCAGGCTGTCTCTGCCCTGCTGAGCCCGCCAAAAGCCCCGTTCTGCAAACGGTGCTGCACCCGTTGAGTAGTCTTTGACTTACGACCGGTTGAGTAGTCCTCGACTTACGAACGGTTGGGGGTCGCGACATTAAAAAAGTTGAGAACCACTGGACTAGAAGACCTCCAAGGTCCCTTTCCTCCCTATCACAGGTAGTCTTTGACTTACAACCACAATGGAGCGCAATGGTTTTGGTCGCCAAGCGAGACAGTCCAGCGAGTTTTGCCTCCATTTTACGACCTTTCTTGCCACGTTTCTTGTTAAGTGAATCCCCGCAGTTGTTAAGTTAGTGACACAGTTGTTAAGTGGATCTTTACTTCCCCGTTGACTTTGCTGATCATAATTCTATTCTATTCTATGAAACCCTCTGTCAAGCGCTCGGGAAATCAGGAAACCATCATCATCATCATCACCAATACATGCTGGTTGTCAAGGGACAGAATTTTGATCATGTGACCATGTACACGATGTGACGGTCATAAGTGTGAGGACTGGCCGTAGGTTACTTATTTTCGGTGCTGTTGTAATTTTGATCGGTCGCTAAGCAAGCAGTTGTAAGTTGAAGACTACTTGTATATCTACTCACCTCTGTTCTGGTTCTTCTTTACAGGTCCTTGCACTCGGAGAGGAAAGTTCTAGAAGGTTGGTGCTTGTTCATAAACTGGACTAGAAGACCTCCAAGGTCCCTTCCAGCTCTATTCTATTCTATTCTATTCTATTCTATTCTATTCTATTCTCCCTTTATTCTCTTCTCTTCTCTTTTCTTCTCTTCTCTTCTCTTCTCTTCCCTTCCATTCTATTCTTTCATAATTCTATTCCATTCTATTCTTTCATTGTTGTTGTTGTTAATTGCGAAGTCATGTCCGACCCATCGCGACCCTATGGACAACGTTCCTCCAGGTCTTCCTGTCCTCTACCATCTTCTGGAGTCCATTCAAATTCACACCTACTGCTTCAGTGACTCCATCCAGCCATCTCATTCTCTGTCGTCCCCTTCTTCTATTGCCCTCAATCTTTCCCAGAATTAGGCCCTTCTCCAGTGAGTCCTTCCTTCTCATTAGGTGGCCAAAGTATTTGAGTTTCAACTTCAGGATCTGGCTTTCTAAAGAGCAGTCGGGGTTGATCTCTTCTAGGACTGACCGGTTTGAACGCCTTGCAGTCCAAGGGACTCGCAGGAGTCTTCTCCAGCACCATAGTTCAAAGGCCTCAGTTTTTTTGCGCTCAGCCTTTCTTATGGTCCAACTTTCACAGCCATACATTGCAACTGGGAAAACCATGGCATGGACTATGCGCACTTTTGTTGGCAGGGTGATGTCTCTGTTTTTTAGAATGCTGTCTAGATTTGCCATAGCTTTCCTCCCCAGGAGCAAGCGTCTTTTAATTTCTTGGCTGCAGTCCCCATCTGAGGTGATCTTGGAGCCCAGAAAACTAAAATCTGTCACTACCTCCATTTCTTCCCCATCTATTTGCCAGGAATTGAGAGGGCCGGATGCCATGATTTTGGTTTTCTTAATGTTGAGTTTCAAGCCAACTTTTGCACTCTCCTTCTTCACCCGCATCAAGAGGCTCTTTAGTTCCTCTTCACATTCTGCCATTCTTTCATAATTCTATTCTATTCTATTCTATTCTATTCTATTCTATTCTATTCTGTTCCGTTCCATTCCATTCCATTCCATTCTATTCTATTCTATTCTATCATAATTCTATTCTATTCTATTCTTTCATAATTCTATTCTATTCTATTATTTTTTCCCTTTATTCTCTCTTCTCTTCTCTCTTCTCTTCTCTTCTCTTCTCCTCTCCTCTCCTCTCCTCTTCCCTTCCCTTCCCTTCCATTCCATTCTATTCTATTCTATTCTATTCTATTCTATTCTTTCATAATTCTATTCTATTCTATTTTCATAATTCTTTCATAATTCTATTCTATTCTATTCTATTCTATTCTATTCTATTCTATTCTTTCATAATTCTATTCTATTCTATTCTATTCTATTCTATTCTATTCTATTCTATTCTATTCTATTCTATTCTTTCATAATTCCATTCCATTCCATTCCATTCTATTCTGTAATTCTATTCTAATTCTATCCTATCCTATTCTATTCTGTAATTCTATTTTATTCTATTCTAATTGAGTCGTAAGTTGCTTTTTTCAGTGCCGTTGTATACTCGAACAGTCACTAAATGAACTGTTGTTGTAAGTCAAGGACTATCTGTGCTTGGTGTATTAGATGAGGATTCCCAAAGGTGCTTTTTTCAGGAGACTTTCTCCTTTTTCTTTTGAAGACGTTTGGCTTCTCATCCCAGAAGCTTCTTCAGCTCTGACCGGATGGTGGGTGAATGGAAGGAGTTATCCTCCTTGCAGACAGCCGGTTGTTTGCCTTCTCAGACTGAAGCGCAAATGGTTCCTGTAGTCTGCCATGTTTCCTGGAAATCCATTCATGCTCCCGCACCATTCAAAGGGTGTTCCTCCCAAAGTGCACGGCTAAATGTCCATGGAGATTCTCAGCCATCCAGGTCATGGTTTATCCCAAAGGTGTTTTTTTCAGGAGACTTTCTTTTGTGTGTGTGTGTGTGTGTGTTTTGTTTTGTTTTTGAAGACCTTTCGCTTCTCATCCCAAAAGCTTCTTCAGCTCTGACTGGGATGGTGGGGAAGGGAAGGAATTATACTCCTTGTAGACAGTGTTTCCAGAAAACTACAGACTACAGGACCCATTTGCGCTTCAGTTGGAGATGCAGACAACACAGACTCATCCCCAACAGCCTGTGTGCCCATCTCCAACGGGGAAGGGACCCAGGGCAGAAACCATCCTGCAGCCGAGAAGGCTCCCCACCCATTTGCACCACTCAGGAGACCCTGAGGACACAGGTAAACCTCCAAGTGGCCTCAACGATTCTCTAAAACAGTGGTTCTTAACCTTTTTAATGCTACGACCCCCCAACCGGTCGTAAGTCGAGGACTACACAACCAGTCGTAAGTCAAGGACTTTCCCTGCCTGGGAGTGCCGTGCATGCGTGGTGCCACCCCCTGCGCAGGCTGAGGCGTAGCTGGCAAGCGGCAGAGACGGCGCAGGGCGACCACCGGCTGGGCCACCAGCTGGCCCAGCCCAAGGGAGGTAAGGCACCCGCCGGGCCCCACGCGCGCCAGCAACCCTCCCTGCGCCCGCCGGCCTCCCACCTCCCACCCTGGCCCTCTTTTACTTACATTTTTAGTAGTTGCTCAGCAGGGAGGGGTGGAAACTTCCAGACAGCTCGCCTTCGCTGCAGACAACTTGCAGCACCGTTTGCAGACTGGGACTTTTGGTGGCTCAGCAGGGCAGAGACAGCCTGGACAATTCCTATTGGCTTTTGAAAGCCAATAGAATTAGACTCTATTCAAGAGAGTCTATTCTACTGGCTTTCAAAAGCCAATAGAATAAAAGGGAGTAGCCCAGCTAAGGAAAAGGGGGGGGAAAATGGCGGACTGCGTTGTTTGGCGACCCCCGTGAAATGGTCGTTCGACCCCAAATGGGGTCCCAACCCACAGGTTGAGAACCACTGGTCTAAAAGAAGGCAAAGGACCGGCTGTCTGCAAGGAGGATAAATCTTTCCATTCCCCACCATCCCAGTCAGAGCTGAAGAAGCTTCTGGGATGAGAAGCGAAATGTCTTCAAAAACAACAACAACAACAAGAAAGTCCAGTTGCCTCCAGAAAAAGTAGCTTTGGGACAGCCGTGATCTGGATGATTGGAGCATCTCCATAGACATATAGACAGACATTTCCATGGCTGAGCTGAAGGCCCAGGTGAAAAAGGCTCCTCTGTCCCTGCCGCTCGGTCTATGAAATGGGTTCAAAGACGCTGAAGTGTTCCAGCGTCTTTTTTCTTTTCCCCTCCCAAAATGGACACCGTCGGGATCCAATTCGTCGCTTTCCTTTCCCCATTCCAGGAGTTCTGACTCACCTGGAAAGACAACTTGCGAAGAAGGAAAAGGAAGTTGGCTCCAAAATAAATATAGGACTCATAAGACTGGGAGGGACCTTTGAGGTCATCTAGTCCAGGGTTTTTCAACCAGTGGTACAGGTACCACCTGTGGTCCATGGGCACCTGGCAGGTGGTACGCGACCATCCTAGAAAAGGGGTAGCGGGGGAGGGGAATGAGCTGAACCGGTGGCAGCACCGCACAAGCCTGAGCGAGAGACGGCTGGAGCTGCAGGGCTGTCAGGGCTCAGCGGAAGCGCCAGGATCAGTGCCGCTTTCCAACTGATTGGCGCTTCTTCGGGGCTGTCAGGGCTCAGCGGAAGCTGGAGCTCAGCGCTGATCCTGGCTCTTCTGCTGAGCCCAGAAGAAACGCCAGGATCAGCTGGAATGTTGCAGCCTCTCCAGGGTCTTGTGATTTACATTCAGATGCTTGGCAACTGATTCATATTTATGACGGTCACAGTGTCCCAGGGTCATGTGAAGTGACCAAAACCTGCTGCAACCACCCAGCAGACGGGGGGAACAAAAACCAAACACCCCCCCACCCCACCCCCGCTGCCAATCCCCAACAAAAATGCTCCCAACAATGAAAACCTCGGACAGGAGGAAGAGCACCACCGGGCGGGCAGGCAGGTGTCTTGCTTGGCTGTGGCTTGGGGGGCACTTTTTTCAGGGCCATTGTAACTTCAAACAGTCACTAAGCGAACTGTTGTAAGTCGAGGACTACCTGTACTTTATCACTTTTTTCCTTTTTTTTTTTTTGGTTATCAAGTTTTTGACACCTTGCTAGGCGACTGGTGGTCCTCGGATGTTGCCATATCCTAAAAGTGGTACAATGGGTGAAAAGGTTGAAAAGCCCTGTTCTAGTCCAGCCCCCTGCCCCAAACGCAGGAATCCTTGGGCAGACCTTAGTTCATTCTGTGTTTTGACCTTCGTGACTCCGTCCTTGCAGATTCCAGCTGCTTCAACTCCCAGAATTCCCTAGCCTGTATGTTGAAGTCTACCCATCTTAGAGCATGATGGCTGGGGAATTCTGGGAGCTGAAGTCCATCCATTTTTTAAGCATGTTGATTGAGGAACTTTGGGAAGCCCTCCCCTCTTAAAGCAGGCTGGCTGGGGAATTCTGGGAACGGAAGTCCACCCCTCTTAAAGCAGGCTGGCTGGGGAATTCTGGGAACGGAAGTCCACCCCTCTTAAAGCAGGCTGGCTGGGGAATTCTGGGAGTGGAAGTCCACCCCTCTTAAAGTGTTTCCAAGATTGAGAAACACTATTTTAGGAAACAATTCCACTACTCAGCTGCTCCCACCATTTGGAAATTCGTCTTGAGAGTCAGCCAGAAGCTCCTTTCCTTTCCTTTCCTTTCCTTTCCTTTCCTTTCCTTTCCTTTCCTTTCCTTTCCTTTCCTTTCCTTTCCTTTCCTTTCCTTTCCTGACTTGACTCGACTTGACTTGACTACATTCCCTTTGCTTGGCCTACATGAGCTTTGAGGTCCTTCCCAGCCTTACGATTCTATGTTCTTCTATGTACCCCCCAGCGGTAGCAGAAGACAGGCCCAACATCTTCCACATTAAAAAAAAAAAAAATAGCAAAAACCCTGTTAAATATTTGCAGTCTGTTTTCAGATCTCCTGTTAACCTTCGCTTCTGCAGACTAAACACGTCCTTGTATGTTCCTGATGTGACTTGGTTTCCAATCCTCTTATCTGTCTGGAAATTCCCAGCTGCTCCATCCCCAAGGACATGGTCAGGTCAGGCCCAGTTTTGCAAGGATGGGCCTGATTCATAATTTTTTTTCCTTTCTTAAATTTCAACCTCAAGTATTAACATTGCAAGGAAGCTCAAAGGGAAAGGAAGTAGCAAATCGCAACTGAAGTGGAGCAAAACGTTATACAGAAAAGAAATTTATAATTCCTAGGTCAGGGATGGCCACCCTTCGCAACTTGAAGACTTGTGGATGCATGGCTGTTTCTTTCAGATCCTTTGAGGAAATATATTTTTCTGCTCTTTTAATATTTCCTTCTCTGGGGGGCTGACTTCCCACACTAGCTACTCTCCCGCCCCTGCCCAGACACCTGCAATCTCGCCTCGTGCTTGGAGGTGGAAGATGTGCCTTCAGCACACCTCCAGCTCTGCAGCACGGTTGCTAACTGGCTGCAGCCCGGTCTGGTCCACGGCCCAGAGGTTGGGGACCCCTGATCTAGTCCAACCCCCCTGGTCAGGCAGGAAACCCTATATCAGTGGTTCTCAACCTTTTTAATGCTGCGACCCCCCCAACCGGTCGTAAGTTGAGGACTACTCAACCGGTCGTAAGTCGAGGACTACTCAACGGGTGCAGCACCGTTTGCAGAAGGGGACTTTTGGTGGGCTCAGCAGGGCAGAAACAGCCTGGACAATTCCTATTGGCTTTTGAAAGCCAATAGAATTAGACTGTATTCAAGAGAGTCTATTCTACTGGCTTTCAAAAGCCAATAGAATAAAAGGGAGTAGCACAGCTAAGGAAAAGGGGGGAAAAAATGGCGGACTGTGTTGTTTGGCGACCCCCGTGAAATGGTCGTTCGACCCCAAATGGGGTCCCGACCCACAGGTTGAGAACCACAGCCCTATACCATTTCAGACAAATGGCTGTCCAGTCTCTTCTTAAAGACTTCCAGTGTTGGAGTATTTTCAGCTTCTGGAGGCAGGTTGTTCCACTGGTTAATTCTTCTCACTGTCAGGAAGTTTCTCCTTAGTTCCAGGTTGCTTCTCTCTTGAGTTTCCATCCGTTGCTTCTTATCCTGCCTTCTGGTGCTTTAGAGAATAGTGTGGGAAGTCAGCCCCCCCAGAGAAGGAAATATTAAAAGGGCAGAAAAATGTATTTCCTCAAAGGATCTGAAAGAGGCAGAAAAGCAGTTTTTTCTTAATAACCCCAAGTCTCCCTCCCCTCAAGAAGAAACCAGCTCTGCAGAAAATGCAGATGTAAACCATTCAGGAAGGTTGAAGCTAGAAGATTAAGAAGACAAAGACACCTAAAATCTACATACCCCACCCAAACTTTAAAACAGGACATAATAGGATTAACCCACAGATGCCAAAGGGCACACTCAGACTCAGGTCAACATTCCTGCCACAGGAACAACTCCAAATAAAAGGCTCCAGAGGGTATAAAAACCCACTCCCTACGTGTGCTCCCTCTCTCTTTTCTTCCAGAGCCATCTTCCTGTCTGGCTCCCCTCTCCAATAAACTGCACCCTTCTTTCTAAAGCAGTCGCCATGTTGTTTATTCCCGGCTTGGACTGAACCATGACGACGACTTTTCCTTCAACAGTTGCAAGGAGAAAAAAAAAAAAAAAACAAACAGAAATGAAACCAGAGATAAAAATCAGCTTCCTAAATTTGGGTGGCACCGTCTGTTGGCTTGTTCTGTTGCTGATAAGATGATTTACATTTTCCAGTAATTTTCAAGTACTAACAGGTCTCTCTGCTGGCTTTTAGCCAAAGGACAAAGTCTGCCTTCTCATCAGGCTTTGTGGCTGTTGGAGAGAAATTGTTTTGCTGGGAGATTTATCTCTGAGTTGCTTGGTTTTTTTTTTAACCTTGGCAGCCTAACCCTTCAGTCGGGCTTAATGTCTGAGAAGGAGAATAGAGTAGAATATCTTTAATGTCACTGTGTAACTCACAATGAAATTAAGTTGTGATTTATTTAATTTAAATGTCAATTAAATTAAGGAGGAAGTGTAAATTGTATGATTTTATACATACATACATACATACATACATATACAAGAACATTGGTAAAAATGTGACTCCCGGGCATAATTATGAATAAAAGAATAAAACATGATCACCGGGAGGGTAAGAATACTTTACTAAAAATATACTTATACTAAAAAGTATAAGTATGTGTATATATATATATATATATATATATATATATATATATATATATATATATATAATCTTAAAAATATGAGTCTCTGGTATATTCATATTCAAAAACACAGATCACCAAGACTAAAAAAAATATTTTTTATGCTGGCAAAAGCTAAGTTTTCAATAAATTTTTTAGTCTTGATGATCTGTGTTTTCTGATTTGAACACAAAATGAACACAATGAACACAAATTAATGAGAAAAGAAAGAAAGAAAGAAAGAAAGAAAGAAAGAAAGACAAAGAAAGAGACAGAAAGAAAGAAAGGAACAAGGAAGGAAGGAAGGAAAGAAAGAAAGAAAGAAAGAAAGGAACAAGGAAGGAAGGAAGGAAAGAAAGAAAGAAAGGAACAAGGAAGGAAGGAAGGAAGGAAGAAAAGAAAAGAAAGAAAGAAAGAAAGAAAGGAACAAGGAAGGAAGGAAGGAAGGAAGGAAGGAAGGAAAGAAAGAAAGAAAGAAAGAAAGAAAGAAAGAAAATAAAAGAACAAGGAAGGAAGGAAGACTAAAAGTGCAGAAAAAAAGATAGAAAAATAGAAAGAAGCTTCGAATGTCCCTTAAACTACAGCAAACATAAATATAATTACAAAATTATTTCTTACTCTTTGATTACAAAAAAGCTCATTTTCCCCTAATTATCTAAACATCAAACCGTACATGACACTGAAAAAAAATGACTTAGGACTGGTCCTCGCACTTATGACCGTTGCAGTATCCCCATGGTCATGTGATCAAAATTCAGACACTTGACAACTGGCATGTACTTATGATGGTTGCAGTGTCTTGGTCATGTGATCACCTTTTGTGATCATCAGTGCTAAGGGAGTTGGGTTTAGGGAGGAAGGAAAGGAGGAGGGGGAAGAGGAGGAGGAGGAGGACTGTGGGGTCCTTGGTGCTTTCTGAGCTTGGCGGTTTTCTTGCAGAGCTTTTGTGACCCAACTAGGTAATTTCATCAGTGCTACAAAAGAGGGGGGTTTGCAGAGAAGAGGAGGAGGAGGAAGAGGAGGAGGAGGAGGAGGAGGGAGAATGTTGATGAGGACCGTGGAGTCCTTGGTGTTCTCTGATCTTGGTTGTTTCCTTGCAGACGTTTCATGACCCAACTAGGTAATATCATCAGTGCTAGAAGGGAGGGGGATTTGTGGAGAGGAGGAGGAGGAGGAGGAGGAGGAGGAGGAGGAGGAGGAGGAGGACGACTGTGGGGTCCATATTGATCTCTGAGCTGGCAGTTTTCTTGCAGACGTTTCATGACCTGACTAGGTAACATCATCAATGTTTGAAGGGAGTCAGTGCGGTTTGTGGAGAGGAGGAGGAGGAGGAGGAGGAGGAGGAGGAGGAGGAGGAGGAGGAGGAGGAGAACTGTGGGGTCCTTGATGCTCTCACAACTTGGCGGTTTTCTTGCAGACATTTTGTGACCCAACTAGGTAATATCATCAGTGCTACAAAAGAGTGGGGTTTGCAGAGAAGAGGAGGAGGAGGAGGAGGAGGAGGAGGAGGAGGAGGAGGAGGAGGACGACTGTGGGGTCCATATTGATCTCTGAGCTGGCAGTTTTCTTGCAGACGTTTCATGACCTGACTAGGTAACATCATCAATGTTTGAAGGGAGTCAGTGCGGTTTGTGGAGAGGAGGAGGAGGAGGAGGAGGAGGAGGAGGAGGAGGAGGAGGAGGAGGAGGAGAACTGTGGGGTCCTTGATGCTCTCACAACTTGGCGGTTTTCTTGCAGACATTTTGTGACCCAACTAGGTAATATCATCAGTGCTACAAAAGAGTGGGGTTTGCAGAGAAGAGGAGGAGGAGGAGGAGGAGGAGGAGGAGGAGGAGGAGGAGGAGGAGGAGGAGGAGAGGACTATGGGGTCCTTGGTGCTCTCTGAGCTTGGTGGTGTTCTTGCGGACGTTCCATTACCAAATCAGCTAACATCATCCGCGCTAGATATAGATGTAGCACTGATGACGTTACCTAGCTTGGCAAGGAAACGTCTGCATTAACACCACCAAGCTCAGAGACCCCCCCAGCACTCCATAATTGAAATCCTTCCCCCTTCTAGCCAGTTCATCAAAACGGATGAAATGCAGCTCGCCAAATCTCTCGAAACCTGATGCCATTCCAGAAAATGTGGTGTGCTTTTTTTTTCCCCCCAGAAAAACAAAAAGCAGCCAGATTCCTCCTGATGTTCTCCTATAGTCTCTAAAACAGCAGGGCGCTAATTCTTGGAAAGGTGCGGGGATATTTTCATTAGCTCAGGGCGGAATCGCTGGAGATACACAACCGATGAACCCAAGAGGGTTCATCGGTTGTGTATCTCCAGCGATTCCGCCCTGAGCTAAGGAAAATATCTATCGTTCACAACCGTGTATTATACACCTGATCCAAAGGGGTCCCCCGGGGCCAATGTCGCAGATTGCCGAGGGCGTGCCGAGACTCGCTTTGGAAAAACACGTTGCCAAGGTAAGAAGACAAAGGTACAGCGTTGAGTTTCACCCAACTGTTTGTGTTTCTCACTCAGGTTGTCGGTTCCTCATCCTTGAGACGGTGAACCTTTTCCGGAAATACATTTCCATCTGGGATGCTCTGCTCAGCTGCTACACAACCCCGGACGTGCTCTTTATAGTGACGGAGCAAGAAGCGGAGCTGGCCAAGGTGAACGGATATTGGGATGTTCTGGTTCCAATCCAGAAAGTGGTTTCTATACAAATAAAGGGAAATATTTGTATCTCAGACATGAAAAGAACGGTACTTGGTGCTCTCTGAGCCTGGTGGCTTTCTTGTAGACGTTTCATGACCCAACTAGGGAACATCATCAGTGCTAGAAGGGAGTGTGGTTTGAGGAAGGGAGGGGGAACAGGAAGAGGGGAGGAGGAGGAGGAGGAGGAGGAGGAGGAGGAGGAGGAGGAGAACTGTGGGATCCTTGGTGCCTTCTGAGCTTGGTGCTTTTCTTGCAAATGTTTCATGACCCAACTAGGGAACATCATCAGTGCTAGAAGGGAGTGTGGTTTGAGGAAGGGAGGAGGAAGAGGAAGAGGGGAGGAGGAGGACTGTGGGTTCCTTGGTGCTCTCTGAGCTGGGTGGTTTTCTAGCAGACGTTTTACGACCCAGCTAGGGAACATCATCAGTGCTAGAAGGGAGAAGGAGGAGGAGGAAGAGGAGGAGGAGGAGGAAGAGCAGGAGGAAATGGACTGTGGGGGTCCTTGGTACTCTCTGAGCTGGGTGGTTTTCTAGCAGACGTTTCACGACCCAACTAGGGAACATCATCACTCCTAGACTGGAGTGGGGTTTGAGGAAAGGAGGAGGGGAGGAGGACTGTGAGGTCCTTGTTGCTTTCTGAGCTGGGTATTTCTCTTGCACATGTCTCATTACCCAACTAGGTAAGGTCATCAGGGCTAGATGTCTGCAAGAAAACATCTGCACAACAGCTGCAAGAACCAAGGACCCCTCATATACAGGAAGACTTGGAGAGCTGGATACAGCCTCTTGGGGGGGGGGGTTGTTGACTTTCACAGGTGATTGTTGATTATTGATGTGGCTTTTACCTGTTGATTAGCAACCCCCTGGACAGTTGGCTATACAGGTCGTCCTCGATTTACAACAGGTTTTTTTTTTTGTGAGCATTGGAAGTTACAAACGGCACTGAAAAAAAGCGACTTAAGACTGGTTTTCAAAACTTACGACCGTTACAGCCTCCCTGTGGTCACGTGATCAACATTTGGCTGCTGGGCAAAACTGACTCATATTTACGACTGTTGCAGTGTCCCAGGTCACGTGGTCACACCTTCTGACGAGACCCACATTTTTGTTGCAAACGAGGCCGTTGAGTTTTGTCTCGCCTTACGGCTTTTCTTACCACCGTTGTTACGTGGATAACTGCCGTTATTAAGTTAGCCACACGGTTGTTAAGTGAATCCAGCTTCCCCCGTCGACTTTGCTCGTCAGAAGGTCGCAAAAGGGGATCACAGGACCCCCGGGGACGCTCGCGACCATCGTAACTCTGGATCCCTTGCTAAGCCTTTGAATGTTGATGACGGGACTGTGGGGATGCTGCAACGGATGCGTAAACACGGTTTACGCATCCGTTGCAGCATCCCCACGGTCCCATCATCAACATTCACGTCATCAACATTTTTTTCAGCGCTGTTGTAAGTTCGGTCACTAAACGAACGGTTGTTAAGTCGAGGATTACCTGTACTCACGGTTTCACCCAAAGCATTTGCCCTGGCTAAAATCTGATGCTGTCTTTTATCTCTCCAGAGGGCAATGCGGTGTCACCACAGCCAGCTGCTCTGGTTCCGCCGTTTGTACGTGAGGTTCTCGCGCTACATGGTGATCAACTCGCTGCGTTTCCTCTAACGGGGAAGAGAGCTTGGGTGAACTGGAGGCACGGAGAGAGAAAGGGAGGAAGACTTTGACTCTCCAGGCTCCTGACGAGTGGAAAAATCTAGCAGGACCAAGAAGGGCCTTCTCCGTGGTGGCTCCCTCCCTGTAGAACATCATCCCTGTGGAAATAAGGTTGGAAATAAGGAGTTATGGGCCCCCTCTCTTAAGGAAGTCCAGGAACTTCCCACAGTGGCTTCTTCCCTGCGGGACATCATCCCCACGGAGATCAAATCGGAAATGAGATGTTATGGATCTCCTCTCTTAAGGAGGTCCATCTGGTGGGACCAAGAAGAAGGGACATCTCTCTGTGGAACATCATTCCTGCAGAGATAAGATTGGAAATAAGATGTTATGGGTCCTGGAAAGCACTGAAAATACTGGAATGCGCAGAAATGAATAGACTAACAATGACAATGAAAGATAAGACAGAGTCAGACTACTATGAAATCTGGGGAACTTTTTATGATTGGCTGAAAAGAGAATACGGTGAAAAGATAGTTAACATCAATTTAGATGGAAGAAGAAGGGGCGGATAAGGAGGGAGACCCAGGAGACACAGTATTGAATAACTGGAAGCTGTATAAATATTTATAGAAGTATATACCGAGAAGGTTAGATAAATAGAAGTATTAATGTAAGAGAAAATTAATCTTATTGTACATAATACAGATAGGGAAATTTGGAGAGAGGAGTTGCTCGGACATTACCCCTGAATTGTATCTGAAGAGGGATGAGAGGGAAGAAAGGAGAGGAGAGAGAAAAGAGTGAAGGAGGGGAGAAGGAAGGTTGGAGGAGAAGAGGAGAAATGGGGAGAAAGGGGAGGAGAGTGGTGAAGGAAAGAGAAGAGGAGAGGAAGAAGAGGGAAGTAGGGAAAAGAAGAAAGGGAGAAAGAAGGTAGAGAAGAAGGAATGTGGATACAGTGAAAGGGGAAATGGGCGAGCAACACCAAAAGTCATGTGTATGTATTTATTTCATTTTATTAAAAGTATCTTATATATGAATGTAAAAAGAATGTATGTTAACATCTGATAAATATCACGGTATATGTATGGGGGAGAGTTTGGAAAAATAAAAAATTATTTAAAAAAAAGATGTTATGGATCGCCTCCCTTGAGGAGGTCCATCCTGAGGGAACAGGAAGGGCCTTCTCCATGGTAACTCCCTCCCCGTGGAACATCATCCCTCGCTTAAGGAGGTCCATCTGGTGGGACCAAGAAGAAGGGACTTTTCCCTGTGGAACATCACTCCTGCAGAGATAAGATTGAAAATAAGATGTTATGGGTCCTCTCCCTTGAGGAGGTCCATCTGGTGGGACCGAGAAGAAGGGCCTTCTCCATGGTGGCTCCCTCCCTGGGGAACATCATCCCTGTGGAGATAAGATTGGAAATAAGACATTATGGGTCCCCTCCCTTGAGGAGGTCCATCTGGTGGAACCAAGAAGGGCCTTCTCCGTGGTGGCTCCCTCACTGAGGAACATCATCCCTGTGGAGATAAGATTGGAAATAAGACATTATGGGTCCCCTCCCTTGAGGAGGTCCATCTGGTGGGACCGAGAAGAAGGGCCTTCTCCGTGGTGGCTCCCTTCCTGAGGAACATCATCCCTGTGGAGATAAGATTAGAAATAAGACATTATGGGTCCCCTCCCTTGAGGAGGTCCATCCTGAGGGAACAAGAAGGGCCTTCTCCGTGGTGGCTCCCTCCCTGGGGAACATCATCCCTGTGAAGATAAGATTGGAAATAAGACATTATGGGTCCCCTCCCTTGAGGAGGTCCATCCTGAGGGAACAAGAAGGGCCTTCTCCGTGGTGGCTCCCTCCCTGAGGAACATCATCCCTGTGGAGATAAGATTAGAAATAAGACATTATGGGTTCCCTCCCTTGAGGAGGTCCATCCTGAGGGAACAAGAAGGGCCTTCTCCGTGGTGGCTCTCTCCCTGGGGGACATCATCCCTGTGGAGATAAGATTGGAAACAAGACATTATGGGTCCTCTCCCTTGAGGAGGTCCATCCTGAGGGAACAAGAAGGGCCTTCTCCGTGGTGGCTCCCTCCCTGAGGAACATCATCCCTGTGGAGATAAGATTAGAAATAAGACATTATGGGTCCCCTCCCTTGAGGAGGTCCAGCCTGAGGGAACAAGAAGGGCCTTCTCCGTGGTGGCTCCCTCCCTGGGGGACATCATCCCTGTGGAGATAAGATTGGAAACAAGACATTATGGGTCCTCTCCCTTGAGGAGGTCCATCCTGAGGGAACAAGAAGGGCCTTCTCCGTGGTGGCTCCCTCCCTGGGGAACATCATTCCTGTGGAGATAAGATTGGAAATAAGACATTATGGGTCCCCTCCCTTGAGGAGGTCCATCCTGAGGGAACAAGAAGGGCCTTCTCCGTGGTGGCTCCCTCCCTGGGGAACATCATCCCTGTGAAGATAAGATTGGAAACAAGACATTATGGGTCCCCTCCCTTGAGGAGGTCCATCCTGAGGGAACAAGAAGGGCCTTCTCCGTGGTGGCTCCCTCCCTGAGGAACATCATCCCTGTGCAGATAAGATTGGAAATAAGACATTATGGGTCCCCTCCCTTGAGGAGGTCCATCCTGAGGGAACAAGAAGGGCCTTCTCCGTGGTGGCTCCCTCCCTGGGGAACATCATCCCTGTGAAGATAAGATTGGAAATAAGACATTATGGGTTCCCTCCCTTGAGGAGGTCCATCCTGAGGGAACAAGAAGGGCCTTCTCCGTGGTGGCTCCCTCCCTGAGGAACATCATCCCTGTGCAGATAAGATTGGAAATAAGACATTATGGGTCCCCTCCCTTGAGGAGGTCCATCCTGAGGGAACAAGAAGGACCTTCTCCGTGGTGGCTCCCTCCCTGGGGAACATCATCCCTGTGGAGATAAGATTGGAAATAAGACATTATGGGTTCCCTCCCTTGAGGAGGTCCATCTGGTGGGAAGAAGAAGGGCCTTCTCTGTGGTGGCTCCCTCCCTGAGGAACATCATCCCTCTGGAGATAAGATTGGAAATAAGACATTATGGGTCCCCTCCCTTGAGGAGGTCCATCCTGAGGGAACAAGAAGGACCTTCTCCGTGGTGGCTCCCTCCCTGGGGAACATCATCCCTGTGGAGATAAGATTGGAAATAAGACATTATGGGTTCCCTCCCTTGAGGAGGTCCATCTGGTGGGACTGAGAAGAAGGGCCTTCTCTGTGGTGGCTCCCTCCCTGAGGAACATCATCCCTGTGAAGATTGGAAATAAGACATTATGGGTCCTCTCCCTTGAGGAGGTCCATCCTGAGGGAACAAGAAGGGCCTTCTCCGTGGTGGCTCCCTCCCTGGGGAACATCATCCCTGCGGCGATAAGATTGGCCCCCACCTTGGCACTCTCTCACAAGACCCTGAAGATGTGGCTTTTCCAGTGGGCCAGGGGACCCCCCCCCAGAGCAGGATGGGAACCCATCAAACGGTACTTTTGACTGCGGTTGCCAGGGAGATGGGGCATTGCGGCTTTTTCGTTGTTCTTGTGTTGGATGTGTACCTTTGTAAGCTGCGGGGGTGTCACCGAGAGTGAGTTGGGCGGCCGTTATCGATTGTCTCAAATAAATAAATAAATAATAAAAATGGAAGAGGACCTGCTCCGGACTCACTGACCTGCCTGAATGGGGAGCTGATGTGGGGGAATCTGTGACAAAGTCACAGGAGGAGGGAGGGAGGGAGGGAGGGAGGGGGTCTTTCCCAAGGATCAAGGAGGCAGCTCAGTCTGGAATCCTCGGTATGCTGGAAGAGAGCCAGGAAGGAGCCTCGCTGGCAGTTCATAGAGAGTATCTAGTAGAATAGAATAGAGCTGGAAGGGACCTTGGAGGTCTTCTAATCCAGCCCCCCCCCCCCCGCTTAAGCAGGAGAACCTATACCATCTCAGACAGGTGACTGTCCAGTCTCTTCTTAAAGACTTTCAGGGATGGAGTGCCCACAATTTCTGATGGCAAGCTGTGTCTGTCTGCCTGCCTGCCTGCCTGCCTGCCTCTCTATCTATCTGTCTGTCTGTCTAGAATAGAGCTGGAAGGGACCATGGAGGTCTTCTAGTCCAGCCCCCTGCTCAAGCAGGAGAACCTATACCATCTCAGACAGGTGATTGTCCAGTCTCTTTTTAAAAAACTTCCAATGATGGAGCACCCACAATTTCTGGAGGCTATCTGTCTGTCTATATCTGTCCGTCTATCTATCTATCTATCTATCTATCTATCTATCTATCTATCTATCTATCTATCTATCTATCTATCTATCTAGAATGGAGCTTGAAAAAACCATGGAGATAATAATAATAATAATGATGATGATGATGATGATGTTCTAAGTGTCAGGAAGTTTCTCCTTAGTTCTAGGTTGCTTCTCTCCTTGATTAATAATAATAATAATAATAATAATGGCTAAGAGCAGGAAAATTGAAGAAAGAGACCGAGGGACTAATTCTGGCTGCACAAGACCAAGCCTTAAGGACAAATGCATACAAAGTCAAAAGTGAGAAGACAGCAACAGACAGTAAGTGTCGCCTATGCAAAGAAGCTGAAGAAACAGTGGACCACTTGGTAAGCTGTTGCAAGAAGATTGCACAGACTGATTACAAGCAGCGCATGACAAAGTAGCAACAATGGTGCATTGGAAGATCTGCAAAAAATATCATTTGCCTGTAAGCAAAAACTGGTGGGATCATAAAATAGAGAAAGTCATAGAAAATGATAAAATTAACTGCTCTGGGACTTCAGAATTCAAACAGACAAGCACCTGCAACATAACACCCCAGACTTAACAATTGTCGATAAGAAAGACAAAAAAGTCTGGATAGTGGACGTGGCAGTGCCTGGAGATAGCAGAATAGAAGAGAAAGAACTGGAGAAGATAAAAAAATACAAAGACCTACAAATAGAAATAGAAAGACTGTGGCAAAAGCAAGCAAAGGTAGTACCAATAGTAATAGGCTCCTTGGGTGCAATCCCAAAACAACTGGAGCACCACTTGAACACATTGGCATTGACAAATTCGCTATTAGTCAATTGCAAAAGGCGGCCTTATTAGGAACTGCTTCCATCCTGCGACGATACCTGTAATACCATCAAACATCCACATCTGCCTATCCCAGGTCCTGGGTAAGGACTCGATAGGTAGACAAAATGCCAAATCCAGTCTGAACATCTGGCTGACTGTGCGATGATCGATAATAATAATAATAATAGACTATCTACCAAGGCAAATAGTGGGCGTGGAATGCTGCAAGTACATCAGATGGTTGAAGAAGAAAAAATGGCTTTGGAAGAATATCTGAAGAACAATGATGAAGATGCACTGAAATTAGTATATCAGGAAGCTTACTGACTACTGGAGAGACCAAACTGGCCTACAAGAAAGACCAAATGAAGAACAGAATAGAGGCATGGGCAGACAAAGCACTACATGGCCAATACGTTAAAAAAATAGCTGGGAAAGCAGATAATAACAAGACCTGGCAATGGCTAAGAGCAGGAAAATTGAAGAAAGAGACCGAGGGACTAATTCTGGCTGCACAAGTCCAAGCCTTAAGGACAAATGCATATAAAGTCAAAATTGAGAAGACAGCAACAGACAGTAAGTGCTGCCTATGCAAAGACACTGAAGAAACAGTAGACCACCTGGTAAGCTGTTGCAAGAAGATTGCACAGACTGACTACAAGCAGCGGCATGACAAAGTAGCAACAATGGTGCATTGGAAGATCTGCAAGAAATATCATTTGCTTGTAAGCAAAAACTGGTGGGATCATAAATAGAGAAAGTCATAGAAAATGATAAAATTAAACTGCTCTGGGACTTCAGAATTCAAACAGACAAGCCCCTGCAACATAACACCCCAGACTTAACAATTGTCGATAAGAAAGACAAAAAAGTCTGGATAGTGGACGTGGCAGTGCCTGGAGACAGCAGAATAGACGAGAAAGAACTGGAGAAGATCACAAAATACAAAGACCTACAAATAGAAAGAGAAAGACTGTGGCAAAAGCAAGCAAGGGTGGTACCAATAGTCATAGGCTCCTTGGGTGCAATCCCAAAACAGCTGGAGCACCACTTGAACACCATTGGCATTGACAAATTCGCTATTAGTCAATTGCAAAAGGCAGCCTTATTAGGAACTGCTTCCATCCTGCGACGATATCTGTAATACCATCAAAAATCCACATCTGCCTATCCCAGGTCCTGGGTAAGGACTCGATAGGTAGACAAAATGCAAAATCCAGTCTGAACATCTGGCTGACTGTGCGATGATCAATAATAATAATAATAATAAAGTTGGAAGGGACCTTGGAGGTCATCTAGTCCAACCCCCTGCTCAGGCAGGAAACCCTGTACCATTTCAGACAAATGGCTGTCCAGTCTCTTAAAATCTTCCAGTGTTGGAGCATTCACCACTTCTGGAGGCAGGTTGTTCCACTGGTTAATTGTTCTGCCTTCTAGTAGTCCATCCCCCCCCCCACTCAAACAGGAGACCATTTCAGACTAGTGACTGCCTAGCTTCTTCTTAAAAACCTCCGATAGAACGCCTGTGATTTCTGGTGGCAAGCTGTTCCACTGGCTAATTGTCCTCAAGAAGTTTCTCCTTAATTCCAGGTTGCTTCTTTCCTTGATCAGTTTCCAACCATTGTTTCTTGTCCTGCCTTCAGGTGCTTTGGAGAATAATGTGACCCCCTCTTCTTTGGGGCAGCCCCTCAGATACTGGAACCCTGCTATCCTGTCTCCCCTATTTTTTCTTTTCTTTAGACTAGCCAAACCCAAGTCCCGCAGCCGTTCTTCCTATGTTTTAGTCTCCAGGCTTTGAATCATCTTAGTTGCTTTTCTCTGAATTTTTTCTAAACTTTCAACATCTTTTTTTGTGATATGGTGACCAAAACTGGCTGCCATATTCCATAATACTATAATAGATGAACACTTGGGCTTTAGTCCGGCAAGATTCCTATCTGTAGGCAAGTGATGATAATAATAAAGCAGTGTTTCCCAAACTTGACAATTTTAAGGCATGTGGATTTCAACTCCCAGAATTCCGCAGCCAGCGTTGCTGGCTGTGGAATTCTGGGAGTTGAAGTCCTCATGCCTTAAAATTGTCAAGTATGGGAAACACTGTAATAAAGGATCCAACTGAAAGGAGAAATGTTTTAAAAATATGTATTTTTATTGTTTTTCCAAAAGAAGAAGTTCTTCAAAAGTGAGAAGTGTCATTTTGGACAAAGCGACATTAAAACAGCATTCATACCTAACTCTAAACCTGAAAACTGAATGGAGCCATTTTAGGCATTTACACAATACGCAAAGACAGTCCCCACCCCAATTCCCAGAACAAACCGAGTTTAATCTTAAAGTCTGTGCAGCTCTGGCTACTAACTTAGCCCCGGATTGAACCAAGGCCGTCATAAAAAGAGGCCTCTAGGGAAATTATTCTCAGCACCATGAGGGATCAGCGCCTCCTTCAAAAAATAAAATTAAATTAAAACTTAATCTAAGAATCCATTTTACTTTTTTTTCATTTTTCTTTAAAAAAAAAAATGGAGATCTTCTCCAAATCTTCAGGCTGCCTTAACGGGGATCCTGCTTCCCCTTGCAGGAGATCTCCTTGCCCCCAAATGCAGGTAGTCCTCAATTTACGACCACAATTTCAGTTACTGAAACAGTTGTTAAGTGAGGTTTGCCCCATTGTACAGCTTTTCTAGCCCCCGTTGTTAAGGGAGTCACTGCGGCTCTTAAGTCTCACGGGTTTCCCCATCGACTTTGCTTTTCAAAAAGGTTGCAAAAAGGATCACATGCAACCGTCTTAAGTACATGCCAGTTGCCAAGCCTCTGAATTTTCACCATGTGGCCGTAGAGGGCCTGCAACGGTCGTAAAGTGTGAAAAACGGTCTTAAGTCACTATTTTTCAGTGCTATTGTCACTCAATGAAAGATTATACGTCGAGGGCTATCTGCAGGAACACCTCCGTGGGAATTTCCCCTCCGGATCTTTGCATGTTACGGCGTATTTGGGGGGGCTTCGCGGTGTTCAAATCTTCCTTTAGCGCTCTTTTTCTCAAGAAGGCTATAATTTTTTTTTTAAGGAGGGGCGTAGAATTGAGACAATCCTATTTCTATGCCGCTATTCTATCGATGGGGGAAATAGGCAGTAGAGAAAGAATATTTTGCCCCCCAAAATGGCACTCTTTGGTTTCCTAAATGAAACCCGAGTTGAAGAAGGGAGACGTGAGGACCCGTTGTGGTTTCCAGAACCAGGACAGTCACGGCTTTGACATATTCCTGATGGCGGGATGGCCTTTCACGGCTTTCTCCCACTCCTTGCCGTTGATGGGCTCCACGGTGATCTTCGTAATGGTCCCTTCATCCAGGCAGTGGGGCGCGATTCCTGCAACGAGAGAGAGACAGACAGCGGTAGCAGGACAGAGTTGGGAGGGACCTTGGAGGTCTTCTAGTCCAACCCCCTGCTCAGGCAGGAGACTCTATACCAGGGGTAGGCAACCTTGGCTCTTTCATGACTCGTGGACTTCAACTCCCAGAATTCCTGAGCCAGCATGGGGGAACTGTGGCCCCTTCATGACTCGTGGACTTCAATTCCCAGAATTCCTGAGCCAGCATGAGGGAAACTTTGGCTCTTTCATGACTCGTGGACTTCAATTCCCAGAATTCCTGAGCCAGCATGAGGGAAACTTTGGCTCTTTCATGACTCGTGGACTTCAACTCCCAGAATTCCTGAGCCAGCATGGGGGAACTGTGGCCCCTTCATGACTCGTGGACTTCAACTCCCAGAATTCCTCAGCCAGCATGGGGGAACTATGACCCCTTCATGACTCGTGGACTTCAACTCCCAGAATTCCTCAGCCAGCATGGGAGAACTATGGCCCCCTTCATGACTCGTGGACTTCAACTCCCAGAATTCCTCAGCCAGCATGGGGGAACTATGACCCCTTTATGACTCGTGGACTTCAACTCCCAGAATTCCTGAGCCAGCATGGCAACCTCTCCATTTCTCCTCAGCATGGCTGGCTCAGGAATTCTGGGAGTTGAAGTCCCCGAGTCATGAAGGGGCCATAGTTCCTCCATGCTGGCTCAGGAATTCTGGGAGTTGAAGTCCACGAGTCATAAAAGAGCCAAGGTTGCCTACCCCTGCCCTATACCAAAGGGTTGTCCAATCTTTTCTTGAAAACCTCCAGTGATGGAGCACCCACAACTTCTGGAGGCAGGTTGTTCCACTGGTTAATTATCCTCACTGTCAGGAAGTTTCTCCTTAGTTCCAGGTTGCTTCTCTCCTTGATCAGTTTCCATCTGTTGCTTCTTGTCCTGCCTTCAGGCGCCTTGGAGAATAGCTTGACTCTCTCTTCTTTGGGGCAGCCCCTGAGATATTGGAACACTGCTCTCATGTCCCCCCCTCGTCCTTCTCTTCATTAAACTAGACATACCCAATTCCAGCAACCGTTCCTTATATGTTTTAACCTCCAGTCCCCTAATCATCTTTGTTGCTCTTCTCTGCACTCTTTCTAGAGTCTCAACATCTTTTTTACATCGTGGTGACCAAAACTGGATGCAGGATTCCAAGTGTGGCCTTACCAAGGCCTTGTAAAGTGGTATTAATACTTCACGCAATCTTGATTCTATCCCTCTGTTGAGGAGAAGGTGAGTGAGAAGACAATTCTTTTATACATTAAATGGCTTTACCTGATCTGAAGAGGCCTCTTAGTCAATGATCAGGGGACTGGAGGCTAAAACATACGAAGAACGTTTGCAGGAACTGAGTATACCCAATCTAGTGAAAAGAAGGACTAGGGGGGACATGATAGCAGCCTCCCAGTATCTCAGGAGCTGCCCCAAAGAAGAGGGAGTCAAGCTATTCTCCAAAGCACCTGAAGGCAGGACAAGAAGCAACGGGTGGAAACTCATCAAGGAGAGAAGCAACCTAGAACTAAGGAGAAACTTCCTGACAGTTAGAACAGTTAACCTGTGGAACTCCTTGCCTCCAGAAGTGGTGAATGCTCCAACACTGGGAGTCTTTAAGAAGCAACTGGACAGCCATTTGTCTGAAATGGGGTAGGGTTTCCTGCCTGAGCAGAGGGTTGGACTAGATGACCTCCAAGGTCCCTTCCAACTTTTTTTTATTTTATTATTATTATTATTATTATTACTATTACTAGTACTACTACTACTACTACTACTAATAATACTACTACTGCTACTACTACTGCTACTGCTACTACTATTAATTCCCAAGACATCAGATTTTGATTTGATGTTTCTTTTCGACTTTTCAGTTACTACAGGGGGTCCTAGACTAGCGACCCATCGCTCAGTGATCACTCAAAGTCATGATGGATCTCCCCGGAGGTACCTATAACTTGGTTAAAAAGTTTCAACAGCCAGCCCTCCAGGGCCAATGAGTTTGCATTTTACGACTCCCCCGCAGTGTCTGCGGCCCTGTTTTACAAAGGTTTTGCTCAAAAACCAGCACTTATTTCTGGTTTTCGTCAAAAGGGACCCATAGCTAAGCAGCGGTTTGCTTAATGACCGCTGCAAAAGAGACCATGAAATTGAGTCAGCCAAGTGGATGTCCTGATTTATTACATCATAACTTACGACCATGATGGGCAGGGTCTATTACAGTTGTAAGTGGAGGACTATCTGTGGATTGTTGAATATTTTCGGAATGGTAATAGGTAATAGCAATAGAACCTAGACTTATATACCGCTTCACAGTGCTTTACAGCCCTCTCTAAGCAGTTTACAGAGTCAGCCTATTTGCCCCCAACAATCTGGGTCCTCATGTTACCGATCTCGGAAGGACAGAAAATTGAGTCAACCTTGAACCGGTCAGGATCGAACTTCCTGGCTGTGGGCAGAGTCAGCCTGCAATGCTGGATTATAACCACTGCGCCACCAGGGCTTTCTTCCTTCTCCTTGTTTCCCTTCCTTCCTTCACATCTTCATTCCTTCCTTCCTTCCTTCCTTCCTTCCTTCCTTCCTTCCTTCCTTCCTCCCTTCTCGTCTTCCTTCCTTCCTTCCTTCCTTCCTTCCTTCCTTCCTTCCTTCCTTCCTTCCTTCCTTCCTTCCTTCCCAAGCAGCAGCACTTAGATTTATCTACCTCTTCACGGTGCTTTACAGCAGTTTACAGAGTCAGCCCATTTGCCCCCAACAATCTGGGTCCTCATGTTACCGACCTGGGATGGACGGAAGGCTGAGTCAACTTTGAGTTGGTGAGGATCGAACTGCTGGCTGTGGGCAGAGTCAGCCTGCAATGCTGGATTCTAACCACTGCGCCACCATGGCTTCCCTGCTTCTCCTTGTTTCCCTTCCTTCTCGTCTTCCTTCCTTCCTTCTTCCCTTTCCTCCTTCCTTCCTTCCTCCCTCTCTCCCCCTCCCTCCCTTCCTTCCTTCCCAACCAATAGCACTTAGATTTATCTACCTCTTCACGGTGCATTACAGCAGTTTACAGAGTCAGCCTATTTGCCCCCAACAATCCTCATGTTACCGACCTCAGAAGGACAGAAGGTTGAGTCAACCCTGAACCGGTCAGGATTGAACTTTGAGGCTGTGGGCAGAGTCAGCCTGCAATAAGGCACCCTAAGCACTGCGCCACCAGGGCTCATCATAGCAGGCGAAGAAAAATTCGGGGTTCAAACAGCTGCAGGAGGCAATCAGTATACAGTAGGTCCAAACAAACCCACCACTATCTAACCATGGAACAAACAAAACGTGGTCACGCGCTCTTAAAGAAAATTCCGTGGTTTTTTTTTTTGCCATAAAACACTTTTCACAGATGAGCTTTGCAATTTTGCAAAAACAGAAATAGCTTTCGCCTAACGTAGGGGGGGGGGAAACACCTCTGTTGCAGCCAGAGAAAATTAAAACGGAGAAAAAAAGCAGGGTTGTAAAAAAAAAAAAAGATGATTGATTTGCATCCGGGAGAGAATGGCAAGATTCGACCCAGATTGCCCCAAATCGTATCCTACCGTAGCCGTCTGGGTTGGAACGGGGCGTGTAAAAGCTCTGGACGCCGCACGTCTTGCAGAAGGTGTGCTGGGCGCAGTGGGTGTTGAAGGTGTACGTGGTGAGATGGTCAGCACCCTGGAGGGAAAGCAGACACAAGGTGGTGGTTTTTTTTGTGTGTGTGTGTGTGTGTGAGAAAGACACCCCATTTTAGGGGCATCGGTACTGTGTTTTGTGAGATCTAGGAGAAGAGTGGAGGGGGGTGGATGGGTCCTCCATCTTTGGAGGCTTTCAAGGAGTTGGACATCCTCCACCTCCCCAGGGTGGCCGAAATAATTAGCTTTCAGAGAATTGGATTAGGTCAAGGGTGTCAAACTTGCACTGTCGTGCGATGTGTCGCAACGTATCGCCACTTTTCCCCCCATTGCCGGCAACGGGGCAGGCGCGGTTTCGCCATGACGCATCCGGCCCGCGGGCCAGCAGTTTGACACCCCTGGATTAGATCAATATTTCTCAACCTTGGCAAATTGTGGACTTTAAAAGGTGTGGACTTCAACTCCCAGAATTCCCCAGCCAGCCACCTCTTAAAGTTGCCGAGGTTAAGAAAAACCAAGCTACAAATAGCCCTTGACTCATGATAGTTTCTTTTAACGATGGTCTGAAGGTATGCCAGCCTCAGAAAGGGTGTTTTATGGCCTTTAAGGCACTTCTGACTGTTGTAGACACAAACACACAGACACAGACATACACAAACACAGAGTCGTGATATGTAGAAGAGCAGTCAGAGTCTAGGGGTGGTGTCAAGTGAGCAATCAGGTTAGAATAATTACGTTCCCATAAATGGTCTAAGCCAGGAGTAGGCAACCTTGACTCTCTTATGACTCGTGGACTTCAGCTCCCAGAATTCCTGAGCCAGCATGGGGGAACTATGGCCGCTTCATGACTCATGGACTTCAACTCCCAGAATTCCTGAGCCAGCATGGGGGAACTATGGCCCCTCAGGGCTTGTGGACTTCAATTCCCAGAATTCCTGAGCCAGCATGGGGGAACTATGGCTCCTTATGACTTGTGGATTTCAATTCCCAGAATTCCTGAGCCAGCATGGGGGAACTATGGCCCCCTTCATGACTCGTGGACTTCAATTCCCAGAATTCCTGAGCCAGCATGAGGGAACTATGGCCCCTCAGGACTTGTGGACTTCAATTCCCAGAATTCCTGAGCCAGCATGGGGGAACTATGCCCCCCTTCATGACTTGTGGACTTCAATTCCCAGAATTCCTGAGCCAGCATGGGGGAACTATGGCCCCCTTCATGACTGGTGGACTTCAACTCCCAGAATTCCTGAGCCAGCATGGGGGAAACTATGGCCTCTTCATGACTCGGGGACTTCAACTCCCAGAATTCCTGAGCCAGCATGGCTCAGCATGGCAACCTCTCCATTTCTCCTCAGCATGGCTGGCTCAGGAATTCTGGGAGCTGAAGTCCACGAGTCATAAAAGAGCCAAGGTTGCCATCCCTTGGTCTAAGCCCAGACCTTAGCTCAGGGTTGAACTGGGAGGGCCTTGCTGCTCTGAAAGCTTGGGTGGTCTTCTTGCAGACGTTTCATGATCCAACTAGGAGGGAACATCTGACAATCAAACAGTAAACCACAGCCTGATCGAGAACCACCAAGAAGAAAATCAACATTCCCATCAACAAGCCACTGGGATATAAACAGAGAGGAAACCCCGGTCCCTTCTAGTAGTGCTTGTCAACACTACTAACATCGGATGTTTTTGCTTTGACAACAGTTGGAGATGCAACCATTTTCTTCTTATATTTTACTTTCAGAGTTAGAGTTAGATGATGCTGGAGGGAGGAGTCAGCTAGACATAACAACACTGGACCTAGGGTGAGAACCAAGGTGGTTGAAATAAGAGATGATAAGAATTGGCCAGGCTGGAGGACTGGAGGGGAAGCCTGCATTTCAAGCTAATTGGAGAATGTGATTTATGACGGTTAATTGGAGGAGGGAATTGTGCTTTGATACTATGTGCTCAGGGGAGGGGGTGGATCCAGTTTTTGGCTTTGATTGTGTTAGTGCCGAGGCTATGCTCCTCAAATAAAGATTCTTTAAGGTAAACAATGCCTCGAAGTTCTTTGAAGAGTTTCATCTGTTGGAAGCACGACACTGATGATGTTACTTCGTTGGGTCATGAAATGTCTGCAAGAAAACCACCAAGCTCAGAGAGCACCAAGTACCCCACAATTGTCATTTCCCCCCACCCTCCACTCTGCAAACCTCCCTCCCTCCCAGCAACTACCTAGTTGGGTCATGAAATGTTTGCAAGAAAATCAAACTCAGTGAGCACCAAGGAACCCCAGTCCTTTTTTCCCCCTCCTCCCCCTCCCCCCCCCCTCCTCCTCCTCCACCACCACCACCACCACCCTGCAAACTCCCCTCCCCTCTAGCACTGATGCTGTTATCTAGTTGGGTCATGAAATGTCTGCAAGAAAACCACCGAACTCAGCACCAAGACCCCACAGTCCTCCTCCTCCTCCTCCTTCCTGCAATCTCCCCTCTAGCACTGATGATGTTACCTAGCTGGGTCATGAAAAGTCTGCAGGAAAACCACCAAGCTCAGAGAGCACCAAGGACCCCACAGTCCTCCTCCTCCTCCTCTTCCTCCAACCTGCAAACTCCCATCCCCTCTAGCACTGATGATGTTATCTAGTTGGGTCACGAAACGTCTGCAGGAAAACTACCAAGCTCGGAGAGCACCAAGGATCCCATAAGGCAAGGTCCCTAAACCTGGATCTCAACCAACCCTTCGCAGAGACTGTTTCTCCAGCCAGCAGCTTTTCCACCACTGTGAATGCAAACAGGGAAAACCCTAGGCAACATCCACCCATCCTCTTCTTACCTTCAAGAGCTTAAAGTGGGAAGCCGGGACGATGAAATGCCTGTTCTGTTTCTTCACACAGATGCTGCAGCTGGAGGAGGGGAGAGGGAAAAGAACGAGAAGAAGAAGAAGAAACGTGAATTGGGGAACAGACCCTCTCCACGAGAGGCCGAATCTAGGAGGCTGAGCCTGGAAGTGGGAAAAAAGGGGGCTTTGATAGCCCCCTTTGTGAACCTTGTTCAATAGTAGGAACTGTGAGAGGGATCTCGGAGTCCTAGTGGACAATCCCTTAAATAGGAGCCAGCCGTGTGCTGCAGCTGCCAAAAAAGCCAACACAGTGCTAGGCTGCATTAACAGAGGGAGAGAATCAAGATCACGTGAAGTATTAATACCATTTTACAATGCCTTGGTAAGGCCACACTTGGAATACGGCATCCAGTTTTGGTCACCACGATGTAAAAAAGATGTTGAGACTCTGGAAAGAGTGCAGAGAAGAGCAACAAAGGTGATTAGGGGACTGGAGGCTAAAACATATAAGGAAAGGCTGCTGGAATTGGGTATGTCTAGTTTAATGAAGAGAAGGACGAGGGGGGACATGATAGCAGTATTCCAATATCTCAGGGGCTGCCCAAAGAAGAGGGAGTCAAGCTATTCTCCAAAGCGCCTGAAGGCAGGACAAGAAGCAACGGATGGAAACTAATCAAGGAGAGAAGCAACCTAGAACTAAGGAGAAACTTCCTGACAGAGAACAATTAACCAGTGGAACAACCTGCCTCCAGAAGCGGTGAATGCTCCAACACTGGAAGTTTTTAAGAAGAGACTGGACAGCCATTTGTCTGAAATGGGATAGGGTCTCCTGCCTGAGCAGGGGGTTGGACTAGATGACCTCCAAGGTCCCTTCCAACTCTATTCTATTCTAACAGACTGGACTGCCATTTGTCTGAAATGGTATAGGGTCTCCTGCCTGACCAGGGGGTTGGACTAGATGACCTCCAAGGTCCCTTCCAACTGTATTATTATTATTATTATTATTAAGAAAAAAAATTGTTGGAGAAGTGGACACACGGAAGGAATGTGTGTGCTAACTGAGGCAACCTTGAAGGCCTCAGTCCAGGTTGTCCTTGACTTACAACCGCAATTCAGCCCAAAATTTCCATTCCTAAGCAAGACCCGTTAAATGAGTTTTGCCCCATTTTTACCTTTTTTTCTCCCACGGTCGTTAAGCGAATCCCTACAGTTGTTAAGTGAATCAGGGGGACGTTAAGCGAATTTGGCTTCCCCCGTTGTCTCTGCTGATTGGAAGCCAGCTGGGAAGGTCGCGAAAGGGGATCCCACGGCCACGGGACAGTCTAGTTAGCCGTCATCAATGTGAGTCAGTTGCCAAGCACCTGAATTTTGGTCACGTGGCTGCAATGGTCATTAAGTGTGAAAAATAGCCCTAAGTCGCTTTTTTTCAGTGCCGTTGTAACTTCCAGGGGTCACTAAATAAATTGTTGTAAATCAAGGACCACCTTTGTGCTTATCCAAACTGCTATGGCAACAACTGATATGTTTCTATGTTGCTAACGTGTTTCCATGCCTCAAAGCAGAAGTTTTTGTGAGCTTTTGGAAAAGGGGCTACCAGGCTCCTCCTGATTGGGGGTTAGTGTAGACCAGGGGTGGGGAACTATGGTCCTTCTTTGACTTGTGGACTTCAACTCCCAGAATTCCATGAGAACCACTTGAACACCCTGAGCTTTGACAAAAATCACCATCCGTCAATTACGGAAGGCAGCTTTGCTCGGGAACAGCTTACATCCTGCCATGAAATCTTTAATATTATTAAAGAACAGCATCTGCCTATCCCAGGTGCTTGGGAAGAACTCAATAGGTGGACAAAAATGCTAAATGCAATCTAAACATCTGGCTGATGGGTGAGAACCACTTGAACACCATGGGCATTGACAAAAATCACCATCTGTCAATTGTGGAAGGCAGCTTTGCTCAGAACAGCTTTCATCCTGCCACGATACCTCTAATACCATCAAACAGCCACATTTGTCTATCCCAGGTCCTTAGGAAGGACTCAATAGGACAGGTGGACAAACATGCCAAATTTTGTCTAAATATCTGGCTGACTGTGTGACCAATAATAATAATAATAATCCCAAAACATCTGAAGCACCACTTGAATCCCATAGGCTTTGACAAAATCACTATCAGTCAATTGCAAAAGGCAGTTTTGCTCGGAATGGCTTACATCCTGCGATGTATCCTTTAATATTATTAAACAACATCTGCCTATCCCAGGTGCTGGCTTAGGAATTCTGGGAGTTGAAGTCCACAAGCCATAAAGGGGCCATAATTCCCCATGCTGGCTCAGGAATTCTGGGAGTTGAAGTCCACCAGTCATGAGAGGGCCATAGTTCCCCCATGCTGGCTCAGGAATTCTGGGAGTTTGAAGTCCACAAGCCATAAAAGGACCATAGTTCCCCATCTCTGGTGTAGACTAACATAAGGTTCTTCCTACACTGGAAATACTGACTATCAAAGAACCTTTTTCAATTCCAGTTTAAATCTCTCTTAATTATGGTAGGCCTAGGAGAAATCTCTGCAAAGATTGTGCTGGCCTAATGTGAATTGTTATATTTACATTTTTAAAATCATTTTATCTTTTTTTTTACTGTTGTAAGAAGCCCAGAGTAGCCCCATGGCGAGAGGGATGGTAATTAAATATAATATAATATAATATATTATAATATAATATAATAGTAGTAAAGTTGGAAAGGACCTTGGAGGTCATCTAGTCCAACCCCCTGCTCAGGTAGGAAACCCTACACCATTTCGGACAAATGGCTGTCCAGTCTCTTCTTAAAAACTTTTAGTGTTGGAGCATTCACCGCTTCTGGAGGCAGGCTGTTCCACTGATTAATTGTTCTCACTGTCAGGAAGTTTCTCCTTAGTTCTAGGTTGCTTCTCTCCTTGATTAGTTTCCACCCGTTGCTTCTTGTCCTGCCTTCAGGGGCTTTGGAAAATAGCTTGATTCCCTCTTCTTTATGGCAGCCCCTGAGATATTGGAATACTGCTATCATGTCCCCCCTTGTTATATAATAATAACAATAGAGAACACAAAGGTGTTTCTTCCAAAAGGCAACTGGACTTTCTGGGGTTTTTTTCCTTCAAAATCCTTTCGCTTCTCATCCAAAGAAGCTTCTTGGATGAGAAGCGAAACGTCTTCAAGGAAAAACAAAGTCCGGTTGCCCTTTTGGAAAAAAAAAACCTTTGGGACCACCACAAACTGGATGATTGAGAATCTCCCTAGACATAACAATAGAGAAAGAACTGGAAACAATAACAAAATCCAAAGACCTGCAGATAGAAATGGAATGACTGCGGTAAAAGAAAATGAAAGGGACCAATGGCATCTTGGGTGTCATCCCAAAACATCTGGAGCACCATCGGCATTGACAAAAATCACCATTCGTCAATTGTGGAAGGCAGCTTTGCTCAGAACAGCTTACATCCTGCCATGAAATCTTTAATATTATTAAAGAACAACATCTGCCTATCCCAGGTGCACGGGAAGAACTCAATGGGTGGACAAAAATACCAAATGCAATCTAAACATCTGGCTGATGGGTGAGAACCATTTGAACACCATGCACATTGACAAAAATCACTATCTGTCAATTGTGGAAGGCAGCTTTGCTCGGAACAGCTTCCATCCTGCCACGATACCTCTAACACCATCAAACAGCCACATTTGTCTATTCCAGGTCCTTAGGAAGGACTCAACAGGTAGTCAAAAATGCCAAATCTAGTCTAAATATCTGGCTGACTTTGTGACCAATAATAATAATAATCCCAAAACATTTGAAGCACCACTTGAACCCCCATAGGCATTGACAAAACCACTATCAGTCAATTGCAAAAGGCAGCTTTGCTCAGAACGGCTTACATCCTGCCATGAAATCTTTATTATTATTAAACAACATCTGCCTATCCCAGGTGCTTGGGAAGAACTCGACAGGTGGACAAAAATGCCAAATGCAATCTGAGCATCTGGCTGATAGGTGAGAACCACTTGAACACCATAGGCATTGACAAAAATCACCATCCGTCAATTGCGGAAGGCAGCTTTGCTCGGAACAGCTTACATCCTGCCACGAAACCTTTAATATTATTAAACATCCACATCTGCTTATCCCAGGTTCTGAGGAAGGACTCAACAGGTGGTCAAAAATGTCAAATCCAGCCTGAACATCTGGTTGACTGTACGAACGAACGAAGGATAACGTGTCCTTTACATTCTTCCCAAGGACAAAGTAATCTGGTGATACTTACTTGCAATCAAAGACATGGAGGTTATCGGAGGCCCAGACTTCAAACCGGACAGCCCCACAATGGCAGCCTCCTGTGTGTTTCACCAGCCCTTGGTACTCGCTAAAGAGAAAGAGATCCATTCCTAATCATTTCTAGAACCGATGAATTACAATACAAGCAGTCCTCAATTTATGAACACAATTGAGCCCCAAATTATGTTGCTAAGCGAGACAGATGTTCAGTGAGTTTTGCTCCATTTGACCATCTTTCTTGCCACAGTTAAGCCAATCACTGCAGTTGTTAAGTTGTAACACGGTTGTAAAGGGATCCTGGCTTCCTCGCTGTCTTTGCTTGTCAAAAGGGAATCACACAGGACGCCGCGACATGTCATAAATGTGAGTCACTTACCAAGCGGCTGCATTTTGATCACATGACCATGGGGATGCTGGCAAGGGTTATAAATGTGAAAAATGGCCAAGGTTCCTTCCAACATCATCATCATCATCATTATTATTATTAATGAACCCTGGTCTTTAAGAAGAGGACAATGATTTGTCTGAAATGGTAGGGTTTTGTGCCTGAGCAGGGGTTGGACTAGATGACCTCCAAGGTCCCTTCCAACATTATTGTTGTTGGTGTTCTTGTTATTATTATTAAGTCCACTGGTCTTTAAGAAGAGACTGGACAGCCATTTGTCTGAAATGGTATAGGGTTTGGACTAGGTGACTCCAAGGTCCCTTCCATCATCATCATCATCATCATCATCATCATCTTATTATTATTATTATTAATAATTATTGTTATTATTATTAATTATATTTTTATTATTAATTATATTATTATTATTATTATTATTATTATTATTATTATTATTATTATTATTATTATTATTATTATGCCACCCAGGTGAGACACCCTTGCTTTATACCAAAAGACATCACCTTTTCTTCCAACTCTTCGGTTCTTCAGTACACCCACCCATCCCCCAGAGACATGGACCTTCTCCTTTACCCTCTGGCTGCCCCAAGGATGTCTAGGCAGATGGACTTCTTCCCGCTCTCCAGATGAGTCCAGGGGTGCAAATCCAATCCATTCACTTGTCCCGGGCCAGAACTCTGGAGAACACCTCTAGGCCAGGGGTTCTCAACCGTGGCAACTTTAAGACTTGTGGACTTCAACTCCCAGAATTCCTCAGCCAGCTTTGCTGGCTGAGGAATTCTGGGAGTTGAAGTCCACAAGTCTTAAAGTTGCCAAGGTTGAGAACCCCTGCTCTAGGGTGTAATGGGAGGAGGATCCCATGCACAGACCCAGAGGGGCTCTGGAGGTGGAAAGGAGACCCCCCCCACCCCACCCCGATTCAGGAAAACCCACCCTCTTAAAAGCAAGTCCCTCACTTCTTTTCCAAACTTTTTACTTGGGGGGGGAGGTCCAAGTAAGGGTGTTCTTAAAGACACAATTCCCAAGTGCGGTTTGGGTCTTCCCAGCTTCCGGGTAAATGCCAGGCATTGGGGTGCCCCTTCTCCATAAAAGGGTGTCCCAAGCCTTTTACAGGAGCCCCCCAAGAACCCCTCCCACCTCACCTACCCAAAAGAGAAGCTCCAGGCTGAGCAGGACAAGGGACCCCCCCCCAATGCCAACGCTGAAAGCCCCAGGCTAAATTGGGGTTCTGCCTTAAAGGGGAGAGGAGCCCGAAGTTCTGCCTTAAATTGGGTGAGTGGTGTTGGGGGGTCTCCTGGGATCTCACAGGAGGTCCAATTTCGCATCCCGCAACAGCCCCCCCGTGTCTCTGAAAAGGGGGTGCACTTGGTTCGCAAGTCAAAAGAGGGGTTCGTTGGGTTCGCAACTCAAAAAAAAGGATTTTTGGGGTTCGCAAGTCAAAAAAGGGGGTTAGTTGGGTTCGCAAGCAAAAAAAAAGAGAATTTGTTGGGTTCGCAAGTCAAAAAAGGGGTTCATTGGGTTCGCAAGTAAAAAAAAGGATTTGTTGGGTTCGTGTCAAAAAAGGGGTTCGTTGGGTTCGCAAGCAAAAAAAGGGTTCATTCGGTTCGCACGTCAAAAAAACGGGTTTGTTCGGTTCGCAAGAAATGGGTTCGTTGGGTTTGCAAGCAAAACAAAAAAGGGGGGTTTGTTGGGTTTGCAAGTAAAAAGGGGTTTGTTCGGTTCGCAAGTCAAAAAAAGGGTCGTTGGGTTCGCAAGTCAAAAAAAGGGGTTGGTTGGGTTCGCAAGTGAATAAAAGGGGTTCGTTGGGTTCGCAAGTCAAAAAAAGGGGTTCGTTGGGTTCGCAATAAAAGGGCTGCGTTGGGTTCGCAAGTCGATAAAAGGGGTGCGTTGGGTTCGCAAGTCAATAAAAGGGGTTCGTCGGGTTCGCAAGTTCTCGCCGCCCGCAAAGAGGCGAGGGAGACAGGGGGGCGTGGGAGCCGTGGCCTTCCCCGCGCCCCCTTCCCTCCTCCCCCCTCCCCACTCACAAGGTGTCCAGCAGGAGCTTGGCCGCCTCCTCGCAGCTGACCCGCTGCCGCTTCTGGAACTGCAGCCAGCGCTCCCGCTGCGCGCCCAGGGCCAGGCTGGGGGGCTCCTCCTCGGCCGCCCCCGCCGCGCCCCCCGGCCCCGCGCCCGTCGTCTTGGCCGGCTGCGGCTTGGCCGGCGCCCGGCCGGCGCTCTTGGCGGCCCGCTCGCGGGCGGGTGGAGGGGCCGGCGGCGTCCGCCTGCGGCCCGGGGACCTCCGCGCCTTCCCCATCCTGGCCGGCCGCTCCTGCTGCGCTGCCCGGCCGGCCGCTGGAGGGCGAGCCGGCTCCGAGGAAGCGCCGGGGAGGAGGAGGAGGAAGAGGAGGAGGAGGAGGGGCGCCGGGGGCGAGGAGAGGAAGCTGCAGGAGGGAGGGAGGGGGAAGGAAGGAAGGAAGGAGGAGGGAGAGAGGGAGGGAGAAGGGAGGAGAGAAGCAAGGAAGGAGGGATGGAGAAAGGAAGGAACGAAGGAATGAGGGAGGGTAGGAAGGAAGGAAGGAGGGAGGGAGGGAGGAAGGAAGAAAGGAAGGAAGGAGGGAGAGAGGAAATAAAGAAAGAGGAAGGAAGGAAGGAGAAGGGAGGGAAGAAGGAAGGAAGGAGGAAAGAGAGGAAGGGAGAAAAGAAAGAAAGAGGGAGGGAGGAAGGAAGTAATGATGGACGGAGGGAGGGAGAAAGGAAAGAAGGGAGGGGGAAGGAAGGAAGGAAGGAAAGAGGGAGGGAGGAAAGAAAGAGAGAAAAAAAGAAAGAGAAAAAGAAAGAGGAAGGAAAGAGGGAAGAAGAAAGGAAGTAACGATGGACGGAGGGAAGGAGAAAGGAAAGAAGGGAGGAAGGAAAGAAAGAAAAAAGAAGGGAGGGAGGAAGGAAGGAAAGGAGGAAAGGAAAAGATTAGGGGAAGGAAGGAAGGGGAGGGAGAGAAAGAAGGGAGGGAAGAAAGGAAGAACAAAGAGGAGGAGGAGAGACTGTGGGCTCCTTTGGAGTTCTCTGAGCTGGGTTGTTTTCTGCCAGACGTTTCATGGACCAACTAGGGAACCTCATCAGGGCTAGAAGAGAGAGGGGTCTGCAGGGAGGTGGAGGGGTGCTGGGGCCCAGGAGATCCACCTTGCCAAGGCTGCAGGCCAGACTGCGGAGTTGGAAGGAGCTTCCCTCCAGAAGCGGTGGGTGCTCCATCAGTGGAGGCCTTCACAAAGAGACTGGACAGCCACTGGTCTGAAATGAGTATAGAGTTTCCTGCCTGAGCAGGGGGTTGGACTAGATGACCTCCAAGGTCCCTCCTAACTCTGTCATTCTGCTAAAAATCCTTCTAAAAGGAAGAAAGGAGAAACTGCTATTCTACTGCTGAAAAATGGGGTTGCATCTCCCCGCCTATCGCAGTGAGGAAGCAGTGGGGGGGACAGAGGTCTCCAACTCATGCTTGCAATTTCCCCCCCCCCTCGTCCCCCAATAATAACCAAATGAACCCCGTTCTGGCTTTGAACACAGGCAGTCCTCGACTTACGACACTTCATTTAGTGACCGTTCGAAGTGACAACGGCACTGAAAAAAGGGACTTAGGGCCTTACAGCTGGAATAGTGGACTGGACTCAAGCAGAACTAAAAGCAATGGATAGGCAGACCAGAAAAATAATGACAACGAATCACACCCTTCATCCACGCAGTGACATTGATAGACTTTATCTACCAAGGCAAATAGGTGGGCGTGGAATGCTACAAGTACATCAGATGGTTGAAGAAGAAAAAATGGCTTTGGAAGAATATCTGAAGAACAATGATGAAGATGCACTGAAATTAGTATATCAGGAAGGCTTACTAACTACTGGAGAGACCAAACTGGCCTGCAACATAACACCCCAACAATTGTCGATAAGAAAGACAAAAAAGTCTGGATAGTGGACGTGGCAGCGCCTGGAGACAGCAGAATAGAAGAGAAAGAATTGGAGAAGATAACAAAATACAAAGACCTACAAATAGAAATAGAAAGACTGTGGCAAAAGCAAGCAAGGGTAGTACCAATAGTAATAGGCTCCTTAGGTGCAATCCCAAAACAACTGGAGCATCACTTGAACACCGTTGGCATTGACAAATTCGCTATTAGTCAATTGCAAAAGGCGGCCTTACTAGGAACTGCTTCCATCCTGCGACGATATCTGTAATACCATCAAACATCCACATCTGCCTATCCCAGGTCCTGGGTAAGGACTCGATAGGTAGACAAAATGCCAAATCCAGTCTGAACATCTGGCTGACTGTGCGATGATCCATAATAAAGTTGGGACCTTGGAGGTCATCTAGTCCAACCCCCTGCTCAGGCAGGAAAGCCTATACCATTTCAGACAAGTGGCTGTCCAGTCTCTTCTTAAAAACTTCCAGTGTTGGAGATTCACAGCTTCTAGAGCAGGCATGTCAAACTCACGACATCACGTGATGTCGTGTGAGGTATTGGGACTTTCCCCCCATTGCCAGCAATGGGGCGGGCACGGTTTCAGTGTGACGCATCTGGCCCGTGGGCTGGCAGTTTGACATGCCTATTCTAGAGGCAGGTTGGTCCACTGATTAATTGTTCTAATAGGAAATTCCTCCTTAGTTCTAGGTTGCTTCTCTCCTTGATGAGTTTCCATCCGTTGCTTCTTGTCCGGCCTTCAGGTGCTTTGGAGAATAGCTTGACTCCCTCTTCTTTGGGGCAGCCCCTGAGAGATTGGAAGACTGCTATCCTGTCCCCCCTCGTCCTTCTCTTCATTAAACTAGACATCCCCAATTCCAGCAATCTTTCCTTATATATTTTAGCCTCCAGTCCCCTGATCATCTTCGTTGCTCTTCTCTGCACTCTTTCCAGAGTCTCAACATCTTTTCTACATCGTTGTTTACTAAGCACTTACAATTTGTAAAAATAAAAAAATTAATGAAATGTTTTAAGAAACAATTAAAGAAAAGAAGTTGAACTGGATTCTTTCCTGCTTGGTGTGTCGTGTCCTATATAAACCGCAGCCGTGACTAAGTCATAAATTACGGGTGATGCAGATAAATTTTTTTTTAAATAAATGATCATCACATACACCTGAAATGCACGCTTCCTGTATTGGGGTGACAACACCCGGAAGTGTTGTAGGCCCCATTGGCAAAGTGAAGCTCAGGACTGTATGGGTTGGAAAGAGATGGAAGAGGCCTTCATCCTGCAGTGAATAAGACAATGGCTGAAATGATGAATTATGTTATGAGGTCACATAATGGGAACTGGATTTCAGAATCTTCAAAACCGAGAAGTCTAGAGACAAGAAGGACTAGGGGAGACATGACAGCATCTTCCAATTTTGTTTTTTAAATTAAATTCAAAATCGCGCTGGAAGGGACCTTGGAGGTCTTCTAGTCCAGCCCCCTGCTCAAGCAGGAGACCCTATACTATTTCAGATAGATGGCTGTCCAGTCTCTTCTTAAAAACCTCCAGTGTTGGAGCATTCACCGCTTCTGGAGGCAAGGAGTTCCACTGGTTAATTGTTCCCACTGTCTGGAAATTTCTCCTTAATTCCAAGTTGCTTCTCTCCTGGATTAGTTTTCATCCGTTGCTTCTTGCCCCGCCCTCTGGTGCTTTAGCAAATAAGATGACCCCCTCATTTTTTGGGGGGTAGCCTCTCAAATACTGGAATACTGCTATCATGTCACCCCTCGTTCTTCTTTTCTCTAGACTAGCCAAGCACAAATCTTGCAACCATTCTTTTTTTGTCTACAGGCCTTAAATCATCTTAGTTACTCTTCTCTGCACTTGTGAGAGTTTGCCCCAAAGAAGGGGGGGGGGTCAAGCTGTTCTCCAAAGCCCCTGAAGGCAGGACAAGAAGCAACGGATGGAAACTAACCAAGGAGAGAAGCAACCTGGAACTAAGGAGAAACTTCCTGACAGTGAGAACAATTAACCAGTGGAACAACCTGCCTCCGGAAGCGGTGAATGCTCCAACACTGGAAGTTTTTAAGAAGAGACTGGACAGCCAAGTGTCCAAAATGGGATAGGGTTTCCCCCCTGAGCAGGGGGTCAGACTAGAAGACCTCCAAGGTCCCTTCCAACTTTATTATTATTATTATTAACAACCTGCCTCCAGAAGCAGTGAATGTTCCAACGCTGGAAGTTTTTAAGAAGAGACTGGACAGCCATTTGTCTGAAATGATGTAGGGTTTCCTGCCTGAGCAGGGGGTTGGACTAGATGATCTCCAAGGTCCCTCCCAACTCTGTTATTCTACAAAATTAAAGAGGCCCTTGAGTCAAAGCGCAACTCCTGATGGCACGATCACACAAACAGGAAATCATAATTACAGCTCTGAGCTGTTGCAGAGGCTCTTCCTGTCCTGGTTAAAAAAGAATTTTTCTCAGAGATCTTACAGCTCCGGAAATGGTTTTAAGCGCAAAGCAAAGATTGCAGATATCCAATACTACACATATTCACGGCCGCAAGAATTGTATTTGCCCAACCCTGGAAAAATGAAAACCTATCAGCTGAAGAAGTACTCATTAAGAAAATTCTAGAGCAGTGGTTCTCAACCTGTGGGTCGGGACCCCATTTGGGGTCAAACGACCATTTCACGGGGGTCGCCAAACAACGCAGTCCGCCATTTTCCCCCCCCCCCCTTTTCCATAGCTGTGCTCCTCCCTTTTATTCTATTGGCTTTCGAAAGCCAATAGAATAGACTCTCTTGAATAGAGTCTAATTCTATTGGCTTTCAAAAGCCAATAGGAATTGTCCAGGCTGTCTCTGCCCTGCTGAGCCCGCCAAAAGTCCCATTCTGCAAAGGGTGCTGCACCAGTTGAGTAGTCCTCGACTTACGACCGGTTGAGTAGTCCTTGACTTACGACCAGCTGGGGGTCGCGGCATTAAAAAGGTTGAGAACCACTGTTCCAGAGTGTGCAGAAATGGATAGATCGACTTTAAACTAGCAGTTCAAAAGCATGTAAATGCGAGTAGATCAATAGGTAGCACTTCGGTGGGAAGATAGCCGCGCTCCGCGCTGTCATCCCGGCCTGTGACGGCGGAAATGTCTTTGGATAGCACTGGCTCAGTTGCCTTGAGTCGGAGATGAGCACCCACCACTACGGTCGGCAACAATTGTGGTTGTAAGTTGAGGACTAGCCGTTATGACCACAACGGAGCCTTCCCCTTATGGTCTCATGTTGTGATAGGGGTAATTGGGGTCGTCCACATGACCGATCCAATTTTACAACCTGGTTTTGCATTCTGCAAATCTGAAAAACAAAAAACAAAAAACTGTACACCGGAGATCTTTACTGGATTCTAGGTGAAGAGTCAATAAATACACCAAGGC